AAAGCCTGACGCCAAGTCTTTGGGGCCAAGGGTAAGGGAAATGAAAAACCGTAATCATTTAAATGAAATTCAGAGAGGGAAAAGCCCGGCCAAAGGAACCTCTGATTATCTGGACCTGAGGAAGTGGCTGTGGCTACATGGCAGTGCCAGTTTCAGTGGCACCATCAGTTTAACTCGGACAATGAAGCCAAGCGAGTGAAAAATTACAATTGTCACAACAGCAAATCGGTTTTTCATTGCTCGTCCCGCGAGCAGGACTTTTCACGGCGCATTGAAGTTGATATGAAAATAATTGCATGGAAATTCGCGCCACCGGCAGATCTATATCTATATCTCTCTCTTTCTCTTCCTTTGTTTCTTTCTCTTATTGCCGGAGAATCATTAATCTTGGGCGAGATCTTGCAGAAATACGTATACGCCGTGTTGGTTGCCGACGCCGAGTTTAATGAGTTAATTTTCAATTTCATTGGCATGGCATTAAGGGAAAAATGCAAATTCTACACCGCCTGGCATCTTGCATTTCTCTGTCCAGACACTCCAACTCCCTTCCCATTGCCCTTCCACCTTAATTCATCAACCCCCGACCCCCTCATTAGCCATTAGAGCGCCATTATGCGCTGCATGTTTAATTATGGACCTTTAGGGCGGGAAAAAGGACAGCGAGGGGACCATGAATGCCTGGCAGAATTTTAAGAATTCCATTAGATAACAGCTTTGATGACTTTCGAGAGGCTTGCAGGGATTTATGGTCGGTTTTGCCTTCAATTGGCTCATCGACTATTGATTGCTGGATATTGATGGTGATTGCATCCGTCTAGAGAACCCATTAACGATGCCATTGTAATACAAAAAGTTATAGCGGTATTTGGAATGTATATCAGGTGAATGAATGTGTGTTTTAAAACAGTTTATTTTATGGAAAGTCACAAAATTATAAAAATTAAAACCAGTTTTTTTTTTAATTTCTATTACTTAAATCTAAAATTTCGTATGGTTTTGTTGGTGTCATGTTGGCCTCGCAAATAAAATAGTTCTTTTGACTGCAATATTTGGTTTTCATGCAATGACATCCTTTCTGGAGCTTAACACAATCATAATTTTGTTGCTTATTTGGCTGGCCTGGGGCCCACTTTAAAAATGGAGCCTCCTCTCCGGTAGCTTCTGATACGAACTCATCTCCGTCGTTTCTGATGTCCACCCAATAGTCTTTGCATTGGGTCAAGTGATTGTTGATAGCAGCCCATTCCTTAATATTTTTGATACTGACCAAGTGGGCATCCATACTTTCACATTTGTCGCTAGCATCGAACCAGTCAAGTTCATCATTATCCTCAATATAGTAATACTTTGATCCAATCTTTTTAAAGTCCTTAGAAAAGCGCTGTGGGTAAAGGAACAGAAATATAGGTCAATTAATACAATTGTTACTAAACTGAAACACTCTCATTAATAGTGCAAGAAAAAGTACTTTACAAGTATAATTTTATGTGTATTATTTTTAATACACTTTTCACAAATAAGAATTTCAGTTATAATATTCTATAGGTTTGATTAAACTCACCACTTCTCTTCCGTGGCTATGATGCCAAACGATGCCAAAAACCAAGAGTACTATAAGTTGACGCATTGTGTAAATATTTTATTATGTTTTAATGGTTCCCCAAGAAAAGACAATGAAGACTGTGAACTCTTTGCCATTCGTCTCCGTTTTTATAGGTGATCTCAAATGTGTAATCAGCAACATTTTACAATATATTGATTGATTCATGTAATCCTTGGTTCTTATCAGTTAAAATTGACAAGAATTTACATCAGTTCTTCGTAACTGGAATTCAAGCAATTGCTATCAGTTATATGTAGATGGTTTTCAATTATAAATTCTCTATAAATTCCGCAATTGTTTACCCTGAGGAACAACCCATTAATATTTAATCTTTTCAAATTAAATGCAATATAATAAACAGAGATTATACTTTTGTTTGTTTGTTGCTCCAATTAAACAGAATTTGCATTAGTTCTTCATAACATGAATTCAAGCAATTGCTATTTGTTGCAGAAGGTTTTCATTTAAAAATTCTTATTAAGCTCGGCAATTTAATCTTTTCAAATTAAATGCAACATAATAAACAGAGATTATACTTTTGTTATCAAGCTCAAATTAAAGGAAACTTACAACAGTTCTTCATAACTTGAATTCAAGCGATTGTCATCACTTCATAATAAATATGTCAATTGTTTACTTATAATTATTTAAAACTATAGATTATACTTTTCTTATTAAGTCCAGTTTTTTTTCTAGTGATAAGAAATACATTTTGTTCTTTGTTGTGACCTCTCCCTGAACTACGCGGAGATAAGCTTAGGTTATAGAACTTTTAGATGGAAGAGCCCATATCAAAGTCGTCTGCAGCAATATACCAACGACATGGATATGGACATGAACACAAATGACCGTGGAAACTCACTGCCGGCAGTTTGCGACTGGAAATGATGTGGTTGGTTAGTTGTGGTCCATGCGGTGTGGCCATTTGAAATGACGATGGGAGTGGAAATGGGCATGACGACGGCTGGCCCGGCTGATGGGAAAAACTTTTTCCGGCAACTGTAACTACCACAGCTAAAGTTAGGCCCTCCGGTAGTAGGTCAGGCACTCAGACATCCGGGCAGCAGCCGGACATTCGACATCCAGACATCAGACGCCGGACTAGTGCGGTTTTTAAATGAAAACGCAACCCAGCCAGCCAACGTTGGGTTTTTTTGGTAGCCAGAAGAGAAAGGCCTCTGGTGGTCTCATCAGAATTTAAATATGTGTGAGAGTCCAATGCAATTACTATTTAAATGTTTGAAAGAATATCCTCGTGCACATAATATTATAGGATTGCACTCAAAATAATCAATAGAGCAGCCAGCCGAGATGCAATCAAAGCAATCAGCTTTAAATGGATCGATCAGCCCTTCAGATCCCTTCTCCACATTTTCTTTTCGTTCCTCACCAAAAAACCGGAGGCCATCAACATCATCATAATCATTAACGTTATCATCATCGGTTGGCTGGCATTTCCGCCGGCAGAAGAGGGCTAAAGGAGCATTGGCCAAGGGCCATTACAGAAGTTGACCAACTTTTAATACCCACACTGGCCATGTTGCGCATGTGTAATCCCATTAAAATCCAATAAGTTAAATTATTTCCATTATTATTATGTGAACGCACTTTGTCGCCGTCCGTCCGTACATCAGTTCATCCGCCTACGTTCCCGGTTGCCCTGGCTCTGTCTCACTCTCTGGTGTCCAGCGATAACTGTCCATGTGGGCGGTTATCTCTCGTGCGGCTTTTGTTGTCCAATCCAGTTTCCTCACCTCACCCATGCACTCGAAATATAATATATTCTTTCTTTACCACTCCACCGAAGATTGCATCTTTCCAAAACGTGTATTATATATTTTCTTTATGAAATTATATATATTCCATACTATTTAATAGTTCTAGTTATTTTCTTGAGTTAAGAGCAATTTCACAAATTATATACTATTTTCTAAAATATAAAAAAAAGCTTAAAAAATTAAATAAATTTTGTTAATTGTTAAATTGAATACATTAGATTTTCCTCTTCTCAAAGTGTACCATACGAAATCCGGTGGCAGCACTTTTGACCAATATCTGCAACACTTCAAACTCTGCTGACTGTTTCTGTTTTATCTCCGGGCCGTGTCCGAGTGTGGTCATGATGCCCGCCTGTTCCCCTATCCCCTGACTGTTGTTGACCATTAAATTGCATTACGTTTCGTGCAATCATTATGATTGCCATTGCCGTTGTTGTTGTTGTTGCTGCTGTTTCCATTGTGTGTGTGTCCTGTAATTTGCGTATATTTTTTAATTACTTGGATGCTGGCAATGGGGCTTAAGAGAAGCGGAAACGCCAAGGGGCCTTAGCTTTAATAATAGATTTTTCCAATAAGAGAAGTTTCTTTAAAAAGATAATGTCAATAAAATGGAAATTAAATGAAATTAAATAACTTAATGAAATTAATCAATTAGTAAATTAAAGTTTACTAAATAAACTGACACGTCACTACCGTAAATTTTTAATAAGCCCCCCTACTATCTGCCAAAATTAAAATCGGGCATTAATGAGTATATTTCTTTTGTTAATTATTCATACATATACAAATTTCTTATCACTTGAAATTGTCGAACTATAACTTAACCTTTCACTTTATTTTCAAAAATTTTAACAGCCAAAAGTAATAAGAATTTTGTTAGTTGATGACTCAGAAAAAAATGCATATATTCATTTAATATTCATAGGCTGAGCGTTCTCAGAATTAAAATTAAGTTTATCACCACGAATTTAATTGAAACAATGGAATGATACTGTTGTTGCTGCCACAGAATATAAAAGCCCAGTCTGTCGGGAATAAATCGCCAGTCTTCGCTATTTATTTGACAAGATGCGTTTACTTGTAGTACTTTTAGTATTCGGAGTTGTTTGCCGAGAAGTGAGTATAAATCAGGTGTCCAAAACTAATGTGAAAATAAGGAAAGAGAGAATTGCTGTGCAATATTAAAGCCCGAGGCCTAGTCTGCTTGATTTCAAATACATACGAATTCGAAGCTTGACTTATGCCAGAAAAATCGTTAGTGCAGCGGAATTTGTTTAGAGATACGATCGAACTCTAATATAAGTGCCTTTTTAAACGAGCGTGTCCCAGAATCCCAACGGGATAATTTCTGGGGAACTCCTCGTATCAAAAAACATAATCTATCTTGCTCTTTCTTATCATTTTCTTAATCCCAAATTATTTTATTTATTTATTTTTCCACAGAGCTATTCCCAGAATTTCCAGCAGATTGGAGGAAAATATTATTATATTGAGCACTATGACAAACTTGACTGGTTCGATGCCCGCGATAAATGTAGAAGCATGGATGCCCACTTGGTTAGCATCCAAAACTATCAAGAGTGGGACTCTATCACTGATCATTTATCAAGATGCAAGTCCTACTGGGTAGACATCAGAGATGTTGAGTCAAACTTTACCTTCATGTCAGACACTTCCGGACGGGAAGCTCCTTTTCTTAAATGGTCCCATGGGCACCCACGTTGTAGAAAGGATTATGATTGCGTGAAGCTGACAAAGAGAAGCCATAAAATGAAAACCAGGTATTGCAGCCAGAGAAACCATTATATATGCGAATCCGATAGTCGTCCAGTGTCTTACCCTGTAACATCAGCTCCAATCGTACACCACCCATCGCAGGGATACGAAATTTTAGATATGAGTGCATAGGGAAACAAATAATCAAATAAAGTTACCAAAATTAATCCGACTTAGAATTAATTTTATGCCAATCCCGGATTTTCTTAATATAAGTATGCTTAACATGCTTAATTTTTCAATCCGAAAAATTCTTAATTTAATCCCGACTATTCAATAAAATTGTAATCCCAAAAATTCTATACTTTAGTAATAATTATCCACGGCACTAAGATAATGTATAATGTAATGTTTAATGTTTAATGTTGAATAAAGTCATTTATATTTTATTTAGAAGTAACTGAAATCAACAAGTATTTTTTTATATGTATTGGAATTATATTGAATTTATAATTAATCTATAAGTCAAAATTTAAGCTGCTACTCAAAACTGGATGCCTGGCAGAATTTTAAGAATTCCATTAGATAACAGCTTTGATGACTTTTAAGAGGTGTGCAGGCATTTATGGTCGGCTTTGCCTTCAATTGGCTCATCGACTATTGATTGCTGGATATTGATGATGGTTGCATCCGTCTAGAGAACCCTTTAACGATGCCATTGTAATACTCAGAGTTGTAGCGGTATTTAAAATTTATATCAGGTGAGTGAATATGTGATTTAAAACAGTTTATTTTCATGGAAAGTAACAACATTATAAAAATTAGGACTAGTTTTTTTTTTTAATTTTTATATCTTAAATCTAAAATTTCGTATGGTTTCGTTGGTGTCATGTTGGCCTCGCAAATAAAATAGTTCTTTTGACTGCAATATTTGGTTTTCATGCAATGACATCCTTTCTGGAGCTTAACACAATCATAATTTTGTTGCTTATTTGGCTGGCCTGGGGCCCACTTTAAAAATGGAGCCTCCTCTCCGGTAGCTTCTGATACGAACTCATCTCCGTCGTTTCTGATGTCCACCCAATAGTCTTTGCATTGGGTCAAGTGATTGTTGATAGCAGCCCATTCGTTAACATTTTTGATACTGACCAAGTGGGCATTCATGCTTTCACATTTGTCGCTAGCATCGAACCAGTCCAGTTCATCATTATCCTCAATATAGTAATACTTAGATCCAATCTTTTTAAAGTCCTTAGAAAAGCGCTGTGGGTAAAGGAACAGAAATATTGGTCAATTAATACAATTGTTACTAAACTGAAACACTCTCATTAATAGTGCAAGAAAAAGTACTTTACAAGTATAACTTAATGTGTTTTATTTTTAATACACTTTTCACAAATAAGAAATTTAGTTATTATATTATATAGTTTTGATTAAACTCACCACTTCTCTTCCGTGGCTGTGATGCCAAACGATGCCAAAAACCAAGAGTACTATAAACTGACGCATTATGTCAAATATGGTTTAATGGTTCCCCAAGAAAAGACAATGAAGATAATGAAGACTGTGCAATCTTTGCCATTTGTCTGCGTTTTTATAGACGATCTCATGTGTGTAATCAGCAACAGTTTACAATAAATTGATTGCTTCATGTAATCCTTGGTTCTTATCAGTTAAAATCGAAAAGAATTTACATCAGTTCTTCGTAACTGGAATTCAAGCAATTGCTATCAGTTATTCTCAATAAATTTCGCAATGGTTTACCCTTAGGAACAACACATTCATAAATATATAATTAAATGCAAATTAATAAAAATAGATTACATCAGTTCTTTATAACTTGAATTCAAGCAATTGCTATCTGTTGCAGATGGTTTTCATTTAAAAATTCTTATTAAACTCGGCAATTATTTGCCACGAAAAATTACATTAATATTTAATCTTTTCAAAATAAATGCAAAGTAATAAAAAGGGATTATACTTTTGTTATTAAGCTCAAATTAAAAGGAATTTACAATAGTTCTTCGTAACTTGAATGCTTAAATTAATACCAATATTCTTAATTTTTTCGATGTACATGATTTTATTATTGAGCCTCATTAGCAAAATAATTTAGTTATTATAACCACGGCAAACGAAGATTTGGAAAGTAGTTTAATGTTTAATTTGCAATAAATTTTTTACAATAATTATCAGTTGAATGGCTTCATTTGGGTACTCATCTTTCACTCAGCAGCAACTGAAATCAACAAGTATTTCTTTATATTGGTATATTGAATTTATAAGAAGAAGAAGAAGGTTCCCATGTTTACAAATTCCTAGAATAAGAGTTCTCAGAACTAGGTTAAATTGTGTAATCTCTTTAAATTCAATGGAAACATTATACATATATTGAAACAAGATAATTCTACTGTGTTAATGATGCAGTTGTTGCTGCCACAGAATATAAAAGCCCTGTCTGTCGGGAATAAATCGCCAGTCTTCGCTGTTTATTCGACAAGATGCGTTTACTTGTAGTACTTTTAGTATTCGGAGTTGTTTGCCGAGAAGTGAGTATAAATCAGGAGTCCAAAACTAATGTGAAAATAAGGAAAGAGAGAAAACTAAATTTGTTATTGCTGTGAAAACTTAAACCCCGAGGTCTAGTCTGCTTGATTTCAAATACATACGTAAATCGAGGCGTTAGTGCTGCGGAATTTTTTCAGAAGAGTTACTATCGAACTCTAATATTAGTGCCTTTTTAAACAAAAATGTTCCGTAATTATTTCGTATTAAAAATCTAATCTATCTTGTTCTTTCTTATAATTTTCTTAATCCCAAATTATTTTATTTATTTATTTTTCCACAGAGCTATTCCCAGAATTTTCGGCAGATTGGAGGAAAATATTACCATATTCAGCACTATGACAAACTTAACTGGTTCGATGCTCGCGATAAATGTAAAAGAATGGATGCCCACTTGGTTAGCATCCAAAACTATCGAGAGTGGGACTCTATCACTGATTATTTAAGTAGCTCCAAGTCCTACTGGGTGGACATCAGAGATGTTGAGTCAGACTTAACCTTTATGTCAGACACTTCCGGACGGGAAGCTCCTTTTTTGAAATGGTCCCATGGGCACCCAAGTTGTGAAGCAGATTATGATTGTGTGAAGCTGACACAGGAAAGCCATAAAATGAAAACCAGGTATTGCAGCCAGCAAAACCATTATATTTGCGAGACCAATAAGCGTCCTGTGTCTTACCCTGTAACAACAGCTCCAATCGTACACCATCCGTCGCAGGGATACGATATTATAGATTTGAATGTACCAAGAACAAAATCTTAGTATATACATGCTTAATTTTTTCAATCCGAAAAATTCTTGATTAAGTCCGGACTATTCAAAAAAATTGTAATCCCAAAAATTCTGTAGTTTAGTTATTATTATCCACGGCAAACTAAGATTTGGAAAATAGTTTAATATAATGTTTAATGTTTAATTTGCAATAATTTTTTTACAATAATTATCAGTCGAATGGCTTCATTTGGGTATTCATCTTTCATTCAGCAGCAACTGAAATCAACAAGTATTTCTTTATATTGGTATATTGACTTTATAATTAATCTATACGTCAAAATTTAAGCTGCCACATATACATACATATGTACATATGAGACGTTCAAGATGTAAATACTACTGAAGGTTCCCATGTTTACAAATTCCTAGAATAAGAGTTCTCAGAACTAAGGGTAAATTGTGTAATCACTTTAAATTCAATGGAAACATTAAATATAAGTATGTCCATATATATATTGAAACAAGATAATTATACTGGGTGGCAGCACAGGCTATAAAGACGCTGACTAGCGGCACAAAATCGGCAGTCTTAATTAATTATTTACAAAGATGCGTTTTCTTACAGTTCTCTTAGTTTTTGGAGTTGTATGCTGTGTGGTAAGTATAAATCTGGAGTCCAAAACTATTATAAAAATATTAAAGAGCGAAACAGAAGAGTCTGCAAAATTAAAGCTCGAGATCCCTCGGAATACTGTTAGTGTTCAGAATTTCTGGGAAACTCATCGAGTCAATAAACCTAATTTATTTCGGTATCCCTTTTAATTTACTTAATATAAAATTATTTTATTATTTATTTATCCACAGAGCTGTTTCCAGAATATTGGAGGAAAATTGTACTATATTGAGCACTATGACAAACTTGACTGGTTCGATGCCCGCGATAAATGTAAAAGCATGAATGCCCACCTTGTGAGCATCCAAAATTTTGGAGAGTGGCACGCTATCGCTCATCACTTAAGAAGATCATTGTATTGGGTGGACATCAGAGATGTTAACTCAAACCATTACTTCATATCAGACACTTCCGGACGGGAAGCTCCTTTTTTTATGTGGTCCCATGGGCAGCCACTTTATAAACATGCATATGATTGCGTAAAGCTAAGGGCTAGTAACCGAAAAATGAAAACCAAGAATTGCAGCCAGAAAAACCATTATATTTGCGAAGCCAACAGTCGTCCTGTAACGCCACCAGTAACAGCAGCTCCGATCGAACACCACCCATCGCAGGGATACGAAATTTTAGATAAGAATGTATTACGAACAAGAAGAACGGGATAAAGTTACCAAAATTAATCCGACTTAGAATTAATTCCATGCCAGTCCCAGACTTTCTTAATATTAGTACGAACATAATCAATTTTATAATCCGAGAAATACTTGATTTAATCCCAACTATTCAAAACAATGTTAATCCCAATAATTCCTGATTTAATATCGAGGTACAAAGAAACAGTACAATCAAAATTTCAAGGTTATAGCAACAAAAGATCTTTATCTCTCTCTCTGTGCTAAAAATATATATTTTAAGAATGGTCATTCTTAAATAAAGAATTTTTGGGATTATTTATTCTAGTTAAAAATAAATAAAAATCGCATGCTTAAATCAATACCAATATTCTTGATTTTTTCGATGACTTTTTTATCTGTGTACTACGTGATTTTATTATTGACCCTCATCAGCAAAATAATTTAGTTATTATTAACCACGGCAGACTAAGATTTGGAAAATAGTTTAATGTTTATGTTTATTTTCAATACATTTTCTACAATAAAATGACTTGTCAATTGAATGACTTTATAAGGGTACTCATCTTTCATGCAGCAGCAACTGAAATCAACAAGTATTTCTTTAGATTTATATATTGAATTTATAATTAATCTATAAATTAAAAACTGGTGTTAAGGGTTACTTGATGGTTCCAAAGAATTCAATGAAGCAATCCAATTATTGCTGCAATAAATCGAACTCTCAAGAAAAAGAACATATGTACATATATGAACATTCATTTCGTATCGCCGAAGTTCGAACCCACAGGTCAAGACTTTCAAGATGTAAATACTACAGAAGGTTCCCATGTTTACAAATTCCTAGAATAAGAGTTCTCAGAACTAGGGTAAAGTGTGTTTTTCCCTTTAAATTCAATGGAAACATTAAATATATGTTTATATATTGAATCAAGATAATTAAACTGTTGTCGCTGCCACAGTCTATAAAAGCGCTGACTACCGGGAAAAATCGCCAGATTTAATTAATTATTTAACAAGATGCGTTTTCTTACAGTTCTCTTATTTTTCGGAGTTGTATGCTGTGTGGTAAGTATAAATCAGGTGTCCAAAACTAATACAAAAAAATTATTGAGTGCGTAACAGAAGAGTCTGAAAAATTAAAGCTCGAGATCAATTGATATACTTTTGACATTTTAGATTAATGCCTATTAAAAAGATTGTGTCCAGAATTTCTGGGAAACTCGTCGAGTTTATTTTGGTATACCTTTAATTTACTTAATTCCAAATTATTCTATTATTTATTTATCTACAGAGCTGTTTCCAGAATATTGGAGGAAAATATTACTATATTGAGCACTATGACAAACTTGACTGGTTCGATGCTCGCGATAAATGTGAAAGAATGGATGCCCACTTGGTGAGCATCCAAAACTATCGAGAGTGGTACGCTATAGCTAATCACTTAAGACATTCATCCTATTGGGTAGACATCATAGATTTTTACTCAAATCATTACTTCATATCATACACTTCCGGACGAGAAGCTCCTTTTCTTATGTGGTCCCATAGGCAGCCAAGTTATAAATATGCATATGATTGCGTAAAGCTAAGGGCTAGTAGCCATAAAATGAAAACCAAGTATTGCAGCCAGCTAAACCATTATATTTGCGAAGCCAACAGTCGTCCTGTATCGCCACCAGTAACAGCAGCTCCAATCGAACACCACCCATCGCAGGGATACGAAATTTTAGATATGAATGTATAACGAACAAAAAGAACGGGATAAAGATACCAAAATTAATCCGGATTTTCTTAATACATAATTTTCATACATAATTTTGTATTCCGAAAAATTCTTTATTTAATCCCGACTATTTTTAAAAATTGTAATCCTAAAAATTGTTCATTAAATATGTATCACGTTGGAAGGAGACAATAAAATTACAATTTTAAGGAGACAGCAACATAAATTTGTATTTCTTTCATATTTCGATTGGGCCTATAGAAAGAAACAATTCAATTCGATTTGAATCTTCATATCAACCCTGAAGAACCCAGCTCTCACATCCCATTGCATTTGCCCCTGGCCATTTTTATTGCATCCCCCATTCGGTTGACCGCATTTTAGCTTCATTTACAGTTATTTGCAATGCCCCAACACAGCACCACGAACCACGCCCACATCCACCGTTCCCGCAGGCAAAACCGCAAATTCAATTTTGGTTTAGAGCCTACAAACATTTTGCAGCATGTTTATGTCCGCTGCATTGTTACGAGTAGTTTTCGCTCCTGGCCCGCTTTTAATGCAATTTATGGCAAGTGTTTGCCCCGGTTTCGGTTGCCATTGACCACAAAACGATCCTTTGTGATATGACCAGTGCAAGTGGGTTGTCCCCCCACGGTCTCTATAGTGGGATTGGGTTTTCATTTAAGTCGGGCGGTCGCCAACTGGCAGTTCTTAGTGGCCATGTCCGCGTCAATGTCGCCCAGATGATAATCATCAAACGAACGCCAAACAATTTTGCAATTTTGCATATTGCCATTGGTTGTCCGTCCAGCTGTCTGTCCGCTTGGATTAGCATCTGGACTCGAAAAAAGCTGTGAATGCGAGAAGCAAAACTACGGTGGAATATATTCACTTTTTGCTTTATCTATTGATATAAATTTAAATAGTGTTAGTTCGCAATACACGCCTCTAAACAAGCGTTGATCAACTTTATTTAAAATATTTTTAAATTGCTTTCCCTAACGTGTCGATCAAGAGATTCGAACAATTTTTACAACAAAACATCGGCTTATGGGCTCAAACAAAAATCATGTTTCACTCCTTGTAGTTATCGTCTACTTATCGGCACTTTCATTGCCTTTGATGTTAGCATCCTGGTTGTTCTTCGGCTCGGAGGCATCCTCCCCTTCCTCATTATCCTGATTCCAGCCGTCAATCTCGACGTGGACAATGGGTTTGCCGTCCTGGCCCATCACGGTACTGGGAGTACCAGCCGGCAGCGATCCATCAGCGGGAACAGCGTCCTCCAACGAAGGCAATTGGTTCTCGGTCTTGCCCGCCGGTCCCACAGCCGTCTGGAAGAGGGAGCGATCCAAAGACGATACTGATTTGGCGAAACTGCGAGCAAACTCTATATCGCCCTTTGACATATCGTCCAGATTAACGTCCACAACCACGACGCCGTCGATAACACGGGAGCGATGCGCAGAGCGGTAGACCAGACCGGCAGGCACGTTGGAACGAGCCGTCAGTCGGGTGACCAAATTCCGCTGCACCGACAACTTGTTCCCCAGCATCAGTAAGCGAAACATGGTTTTTGCCTTTTTAACGTTTTAAGCGTGCTCGAGAGATAATCTATATGAACAAGATGCGGTGTCAGAAAAACCAAGAAATTTAAAACAAATGTTGGTAAAATTATTACCTTAGTTTTCAATTTGAAAATTGGAGGGTCCTATCTTGCCGAAATATTCAATATGACTGAAGTTCTCGCTCAGGTGAACAACTGATTTAGCTCGATTGGGATGAAGTTACTTCCAAGGCAAATATGCTAACCAAAATCTAACGAAATAATTGTTAATAAATTATTTTTTAATATTACCCAAGAAACCTTTTTTAAAATATAATTGGTTCAATGTAAGAAACAACTGCGTCTTGTTAAAAATAAAAGCAACTGTCTTCAATCAAGAACGATCTGTTTATTATAAATATTTAGTCCTATTCGGGTTAATAATCCATGATTGTTGACAAAAAGTTGAATCGAAAAATCCCAGTCAATTACCTTCTAAATCTCGTGAAACCCCGACCACACCTTACTAACACACCACTTTGATACCGGCCTTCTTCATATAAATCTTGATTTTTATAGCATTTATATTATGAACTCTGTGATGATACTCTTCTTGAATAAAATGCCCTCATATATATTTTTTTATTTAGTTTATAATATTAATATTGACAATTAATTCGGATTTAATGAAGTGTTGTAAACTGGGTGAAGTGAAAGTGGTGGTCAACACAATAGATCCGGATCAAATTTGGAAAACATGGAGGCTTAAGTATAATGAGGGAAACTTAAGTTGCCCATCAGTTTGGAAACGCCTACTCCTTGTCGAACTTGACAAGACGCGTGTCGTCGCCGAGCTCCTTGAGGTCCACGGAATCGCGCCGGAAGCGATAGGTGCCCACATCCTCGTTGGCTGACACAGGCAGCTTCACCTTAATCCCCTTGTACTCTGTTTGGCCCTCTCGTACCTCGGGCACACGGAGGGCCAACTCGGCCTTGTACTCATCATCGTTGCCGATGTCGATATTCTTGCTGTTCTTCTGCACGGTGGGATCATCTCCCTCCCAGCTCCAGCCATCGATCTCGATGGAATCGATTGGACTGCCGTCAACGCCCATTATTGAACTAGGAACGCCGGTCGGCATTCCATCGGTATCAAGGGCTGATGATTCACCCTCATCCTTGTCCATTGGCTCCCCCGCATCTTGAGATTGGTCCAGCGCCGACAAGGTGCTAAGGAAATTCTGACTAAACTCAAGATCGTTCTTGGCCAATTCGAAGATGTTGATGTCGGTGACGGTGACGCCTTCGATGCTCGTAGGTTGGCCTTGGCCTGTTGGGCGGCGGAGACACCCAGAGGACATGATCGAGCGAGAAGTTAACCGTGACACCAGACTCCGCTGCAGTGTCAGCCTGTTACTCAACATCATCAGGCGGAACATGGCCTTCAAAAAAGCCGGAGAAAATACAATTACCTTGGCTTTTGGACAAAAGTAAAAACTTACTTTTCTGGAATATTTGATGTTACTGGAGTTCCCAAAGCAGATCGACAACTGAGCTTAACAGCGTAACCAAATCGGTTGGAAGAACGTTTACTTCAAGGCCAATTCGTTATGAATGAAATAATTTACAGGTTTACAAGATAGAAGGTACTATTTTAATAATTAACAGAGTATAACAACTACCCCTAATAAAGGTAGCCAAACAGTGCGATACTAACGCTTTCGCTTCGCGGCGCTTCCAGCTGTCTTTCGCACCTTACGTTTGCCCGAGGTCGACGCCTCTGGCTTCTCCTCGAACGAGTCTTCGTCCTCCTTGCCGGTGCGTACTTCCCGATTTACCTTGTAGGCGGCACTCATCCGCTTGATGTTCTCCTTGTGCACCACTTCGTGTTTGACAATGCGATGTGGATAATCAGTGCCCAGAACGCATCCATAGGCACGCTGATCCGCCAGCGTGGCCTTCCAGGGCTCGTAGATACAGCCCTTGGGATATTTAGCTAGTTCCTGCACATACTTCCTGATATAGTCACCCTGAGGATCCGTTTTCTTGCCAAATGCCACCGGACTGTAGACCCGAAAATACTGATGAAAGAAGGCCGAGGCGGAGAGCCACATCCAGTTGCCAGCGTTAAGCGCCCAGTCCTGATCGAGCAGCAGCTGCTCAAAGACCCGCTGCCCCTCCTCCCAGCTGATCCACAGATCTCCTCGGGTGAGAAAGCAGGCCACTGCATGCCGGGCCAGATGGTGGATCCACCCCTCCTGGCGCAACTGCCGCATTATGGCGTCGATAAACGGATAACCGGTGCGACCATGGGTCCAAGCCTCCAGGTGATCTGGTTGCTCCTGCCAAGGAATCTGCAGGCAGTAGACGTTGCCCAGCATACGATCAAAGTTGGGTTCGGCAGCGGCCACTGTGTAATAGAATTCCCGCCACATAAGTTGTCCAATCAGCGAAACAGGAGGCTGGGAGTGCTTTGGTTGGCGTTTTAGTATTTCCTTGAGTTTCTGATTAAACAGACGAGCACTAAGACATCCGAACTTTAGATACGGACTCAGAACAGTGGTGCTCGGTTCCAGGGAATTCGGCGCCGTGTTGGGCTTCTCGAAGCGGGCCACCCACACTTCATCCTTCAAGGATTCGTCCATGCGACGGAGGGCCTCCGTTTCGCCACCGGGAAACTTATTGGGTCCCAATTCCTCCGGCCGCTTCACCAACTGCTCCATGGTGGGGCAATCGTATGCCGCTGGTGTCCCTTGCTCTACGTCATCTTTGGGGGGCTGAGCCACCCCCTTCAACTTATCAGGAACCTCTAGAACCTTGGGTATCTTTAGTTGATCCACGATGCCCAAGAACTTCTGGTACGTAATCGGAGCCTTTCCCAAATTCTTGGATATAACCAATTCTGGGTTGTAAATCGTGTGGGAGCAGTGTGTTACCACCTTAACACCCTCGGTCTGGGCCAATTTCTGGACCGCTGCGTCCCTAGACAGGGAATAGGGCTCGATATCAGACTCGAATGTCAAGAGTTCCACGCGCCAGGTCTTGAAAATCCGAGGAAAAACTTCCACAGGCTTCCCACGCACCACAAACAAACGGGAATTGAGTTTCCTCAGCTGCTCGTCCAAATCCTGGAGGGTCTGCTGTAGGAATCGCCAGCGATTGGCCCCCACCTGCATCCAGTCGAGGATCCCGGGATCAAGAATGAAAATCGGTCGGACGCAGAACTTCTCTGGCGCGGCGTTGGCGGCAGAGAAAATCTGTGATAAAGCCGGATTATCATGGACCCGAAGACCTTTGCGAAACCAGTGGACAAGCGTGGACCTTTTCCCATCCATTGCAGCACGTGTCCACAGTTTATAACGGCGTATTATTAGCTTCCGAGAGAAAAGGTTTTTTGAAACGCGCACCACGCGCCTGATGTTTAAAAGGACCTGCCAACTCCTTTGCGAAAAGCTGTGTTACACTTGCATACAAAAAGTTATTTTTTTACCTCTAAACTATTTTTTATTGATTAATTTTTAAGACTCCTTAAATTGTTTTTATGTGTAATTGTAAATGTATTACAAAACTCTTATAGTTTGACTATAAGCATTAAAGCATTTAAATTTTAATATTCTTATAAATGCGAAAGTCCATCCGCTCAGTGTAAACAGCTGTTGTGTAATGAAAATATACCAAAATACCGCAATTCCGCGCGAGTTGCCATCCCCGTTTGCTATTTGGTGCACAAGCACCGGTTGCCAATATAATTATAAATATTTTTAACCAAATAAACGACCAAATCAAAGGCATTCGAACACCGCGACAGGCTAATAATATCCGCCAGAGAGTGGTAAGTCATCTAGAACCCCGCCCGCATGAGCGAACGGCCGATTAACTGAGATTCCCTCGCATTTTCATGGTGGCGTCACAGGCGCAGCGTGAATTGATCAACAACGGACGAGGAAAACACGGCTGAAATCCCCTGGGACAAAATGGACCTCCTCGACTCGATACTGAACGCCATGGACGCGCCGCCAGCGAACAATGAGCAGCAAAAGACGCTAATCAAGAAGCAGCGCGAAATGATGGAGCGAATGCAGAACAAGCAGAAGGAGGAGCTCCTCCGCTTTCGGAAGTATGTGGACGAACGGATGGGCCGATTTGCCAAGGACGACAGAAAGTGCATTGAGTTCCAGCCGCTGGACAAGGTGCATCGCTCGGTGATACACGAAATAGCCGAGAACGGCGGCTTCATAGCCATGAGCTTTGGGCGCGAGGATGTGGACAGACACTCGGTGGTATACAAAAAGGAACATGCGCCTGGGGAGGACGAGGTCACGGCCCGGCGAAACGGCGACGGCTGGAACGTGGAGATAGCCAAAGAATACGCGGAGCGGCGGAGAGAGCGGCTGGCCCAGGAGCAGAGCGACAAGCAGGCCTCCACCTCCGAAGCGGGTTCCTCCTCCGCGACCGGAGATCAAGACGGTGGGGAAGTGAAGCCCACTACCAACTACAAGGCCAAGTATGCCCACCTAATCGGAGAGTCGGCCGCCCTGCAGGCGGCACGGAAGACGGAGACAAACCAAAGCTATGGGTTCGTGCCCAGCAAGAACAAGAAGGACATGCGCTCCATCGAGCAGACGCTGGCCGATATTCAGGCCAAGAAGCGCTTGCGACTGCAGCAGCAACAGGAGTTGGAGCAAGAGCAGGAGCAGGTGCAGGAGGAGGCGTCCACATCCACAGAGGACCCATGAACACGCGGGGACTCATTAGTTTAAAGTTGACTCACCTAACACAAGACTGTCACAACTCCAAGAAGGCAATTTTTAACTTAGTATTGTTATTTCACCCTCCTCTTCATATTGTATACCCTGTAAAGTGATTCATGAGTTTCCTTGCATGCCAAAGAAGATGCCTTTCGGTTCGGCTCGCACTTCTGGTCCAGTTATCATCGCTCATATAGGATATGTAAATCGAATGCCTTAATAACGCGTTTCCTACAAATGCCTTCGTCTTGGCATTGTGACAGTCTTTTGGTAGTGTGGGTCTAAGGATTAGTTTTGTTGATTCAGAGATTAGTCACATGCAAAGTCCGTCGACTGCCATGTAATCATAAGAAATAAGCAATATAATTTGTTGGCCAATTAGGATGCGATAGTTGAAAGTGTTTAGGACAAGTCATGTAGCCACGGCAGCGTCCGACTCGCAATATCTATTTATATAATAAAACAAAATATAGAAACGAAGAAAAGGTGAGTTTGCGAGATTTAAATTCATGTGTTCACCACGGGAAACGCACCAGTGCTGCCAGACTTGGCGTCCATGATTTCCGCGTTCTAGTGTGCCCAGAAACAGCGAAAGCTTAAAAACCCAGAGGTTTTTGAAATTTTGTTGTGGGAAAGCCATATTTTCATCTGGCCACTCAATTTCTCATACCACGTGTTGCGAATTGCAGAGTTTTAAGAAGTAATGGAAATAAATATGATTTTCTCCAGAAGAAAGAATGAAAATAATAAATTAAGTGAAATCGAGGCACAATTGTTTAAAGACCACACATAATGACACCATGAGCAATACCGTGGCGTGGAAACCAAACCCGCAATAACATGGCAATTCTGAGACTTCTCAGACCTCGCATGGAAAGGTGAGACTTGTATTAAAAATGGTTAATTCCTTTTTTATGATGAAAACTCTAGATAGGGACATCTGATGTCTATGACTGATTTATCTTGATAGTAGAACTGATTTCAAAAACAATGTTCTAAATATATTTTCACATTTAAATACCCTATTAACGTATTTTTTCCTTTTTTACAGAGCAACTGGCATTGTTTAAACAAAAGCCTTAAGATAAAAAGGCTACCTTAAGTTCAAAAGGTAATAAATATTAAAAATCAGCGTCATATTTAAGTTTCTATGATGAAAACTTAAGATAGGGACATCTGATGTCTATGACTGATTTATCTTGATAGTAGGAACTGATTGTACAAAAACTATCAAAATTCTTTTTGGAGATTCGTATAATAACTAATTATTTTTGTTTTATTTTCAGTCGAATGTGTCTCAATTGTGTCACAACTGAAGCCGTAAACAACGCGACTTGAAGATGGTAAGCACACCTTTAAAAACTAAACTTATTTACACGTTTTAATGATGACAATCCATGATAGGGACATCTGATGTCTATGACTGATTTATCTTGATAGTAGAACTGATTTTATAAACAACTTCTTGAATATAGTTGGCTGTTTTTAATATATAAACTAATAAGTATTTATTTTCTTTTTCCAGGAAACTGGCATTGTTTGAAATAAAGCAATCTGGAAAAGAGCCTACCTGATATTCAAAGGTAATAATTATTAAGAAATCAGCGTTCAGTCATGTTTAAGTTTCTGTGATGAAAACTTAAGATAGGGACATCTGATGTCTATGACTGATTTATCTTGATAGTAGAACTGATTACTAATATGTTATATTAAATATCCTAAAAATTAAATGTTTCTCTTAATTAAAAAATATTTCAATTATTTTATTTTACAGGCACGTTGACAGCCAAGAAAGGATTACAAAATCCTGTTCCATATTTTAATTCAATAAATAAAAAAAATTATAAAACTTTTGGTATTTTTATTTTTAAAAAAGGGATGCCAACTTGCTTGAACAGTAGATTAGTGCTATTGTGTAAATATATAACACAAAACGTAACAACGATATTATATATTTTGGTTTTAAAAGCCATTTTACACATTTTTTTATTATATATATATATATATATATTTATTATATATTGTCAAAACTACATTTAAAAAAATATTGAAATTTACTCAATTTGTGTGACCAGTGTCCACTGTACCAAAATAATTGCCCAGGTTGGCAGCTCTACACCACTGATAACAAAAAATAAAAACAAATTACAGAAATAGTAACAAATTTGGAACCGGCCAAGACCGGCCAGTTGACCAAACATGCTGCCCACCAAAACGGACTCCCGTCGCCGTCTCAACGCAGCGAGCTCAACGCCAGCAGTTGGAGAATATGTCAAGGTGGTGGAGACCCAGTGCGAGACTGATGGTTTCGTTAACGAACAGTGGGTAGAACCGACGATCCAGAGGCCAATACCCTGGAAGACCATAACCATTATCCTGGCGCTGTTTGTTGGCGGCGTAGTGAGTATACTACTTTAGTTAGTATCGATCCGATCCGATGACTCAACCTATTGCATTTCTTTGTGTCCAGATCTGTCTCGCCTTCGCTACTCTCTATTGGGTGACGGACACGGGCGATGAGCGATCGGATCGAGTCTGGGCGCTAAGTATTATCGGGGCATTGACCTTTATCCCCGGGGGCTACTACGTGTACGTGCTGTCTTGCATCCTCCTCAACCGAAACGGATTCACCATGGACGAGATAAGAAGACTCGGCTGAGGGATGATGAAAGTGGAAACGAACCACAACACAAATCGTCAAATAGAGTTTATTATTGCATTTAGACTACAAGTTATTCACACATTTCATTGGCATATAATTTCTTTAGCAACAATCTTAATGTTTGATACATGTTTGTGTGTATTGCCCCGGTAATTGTTGTATAAAAATATTTGTAAATACGAGCTTGTTATCAAAATGTATAATGCTTGGCGTGGTTTAGTGCGCGGAACATTTGCTATCTATATAAATACACCACGGCGTAACGCATGTTTAGATATATGTTTTACAGGCATGGACTATAGGTTTTATAAGATATATGCTATGTTTATGGCCACTTTCTCTATCAAGCATAAAGTACATACATTATATGTTTGAGCTTAATTATATACATTGTTTATACGTTTTTATTCTGTAACTAGTTTAGAGTTGGTTTCTTTACAAACAATTGCTTTTCGTGTGTGCTTTCTTAGGGGAAATACATAATTATCGAGGAATGGGTACATGTACACAATACATACGCAAACGTAATAACGAAATTAAACTAGCGACAGTTAACAACAATTCACTGCTCCACAACGGTGACCTCGATGGGGGGAATAAACTTCCACACATGCGCCTGCTGCTCGTCGTAGCTGGAGGAGAACATGTCCGATTGGTGCTCAGACTGCTTCTGCTGCGGATTGCTGGAGCACTCTATGCTGGCCTTGAAGCGCCCGGGCGTAAAGAATATCACAGAGCATGTGTGCTGCCGCTGCTCCTGCTTCTCCAGCAGGGGAATTGCAATTCTGAGGAAAAGATAGAGAGAGAGAGAGGTTTAAGACCTTGTCCTACTTCATTTTTAGGCTGCCCTACTTATTTGGTCCTGAAATGGCCACGCGTGTCTCCAGATTGTAATTCTCCATGCCGTTCAGGTAGTCCTGGTAAAACTTAATGCTCAACACCAAGTTCCTGAGCGGTTGCAGCGATTGATTGGCCAGCTGGATGCTCAGAAGCGAACGCTGACCCACCGTGCACGCGATCTCGCTGTGCGGCTGCACGGGCGTCTCCTGAAAGCTTATGGCTGGGGACAACAAGACAATTAAAGGCTTTAAATCGACCAAGGAAAGGCTATGAAAACCTACACCACTGCAAAGGCGAAACAGCCGTCAGGTCCACCATCGACTGGGAGAGAACTATCCCTCGGAGCGAGGCTACACCCTGAATATCCGTTCCAGTCAGCAGCCAGTTGATTTTCACCCGTTCGGCTATGTGAATTGAGCAGAGTTTGCTCAGGGCATCGTTAAACGAGAGAAGCTGCGTCCGAAAGCATAGTTCTAACGAAGAAGATTATTCATAAATTTACATTAAAATATAATGAACACCCAGGTTATACCCCTTTCCAGGTTTTCGGCCACCTCAGCTGCCCGGGCGGCCACCACTTGCTCTAGCGAGCAGCGATCCACCGGTATTGGCACCCGGCAGCTCTCCTTGGCCTCGATGAGTATGTTCTTGGTGTCCGTGTAGTTGAGCGACATCTCTTGAGCGGTTAGGTTGGAAATGTCCAGCACCAAGTAAAATTGTGAGGCCCTAAACGATGGAATTCCAATTATTACAGTTTTTGGGAAAGTCATAATTATAGCTTACACTTCGGCCGGCAAAACATCCCAGCTGGTGATCTGCGCACTGGGCAAGAGTTCAAGGTTAAAGGACACTGCACACTGGCGGCAATAGCCTGCCGTTAGGGCTTCCCCGCCCGAGTACTTCAGCCGCACTTGCGCTTCTATGTGCTGGGAATATTGCGAGCCCAGGCTAGACGGTCCTGCGCCTCCTCCTCCTCCTCCTGGCTGCAAGCTTAAAGCAGCCAGCGAATGCTGACCGGCCGAGATGGTGGAACGAAAACTAGAGTTCTGTGGCTCGTGGCGACGATGCTGCGGCGAACCAACTCTCGAGGGCAAGCTGGCGTGCCCCGATGTGGACATATTGGAGTAGGGCGCGAGGGAAGCAGCAGCTCCATAATCACCGCCAGCAGCACCGGAATTCAAGGAAGCGGGTGGCTGCGGACAAACAAAGTCCGCTTCGGCATAAATGTGCAGGTCAAAATCTATCGAACCCAGCGGAGGCACTGGCAGTTTGGTCTGCAGGGAAACAGCAATTATTATTATTAGATTATTATTATTAAAAAAATACAACCTTCAATGCCTCTTCGTCTATCCGAAAGATCTTTTTCTGTAGCTCCTGCTCCACATTCGAGTTGATGCCCACTTCCAGGTACTCCAGCGGCAGTGTGGTGCTCTCGTTCGTGATGGTTATCGTGCAGCAGGAGGACTCCCCATTGTACAGAGTCAAGCTGGCCGAGGTAACCACTATGTCGGCACTGTTCATATTGCTAAACGTCGCGGTCTGAGGCAGGGATGTTTTCACCCCAATACGGGGCAGGGCGGGTATCACATCCACTAGATAGTTGGGCGGAAAGCTGCGACCACGCATATGCTTCAGCCGACAATTGGACTTGACGCCGAGCGTGTGAGTGCTGTAGCCCTGCAGGTCCAACTGTCCGGTCTCAATGGGCGTGCCATGGAGCGACACATAGGTGGGCACGTGTGGCTGCAGGACAATCGTCTGGGGCAGGGACTCGAAGACCACGCCATTTGTCAATAATCTCATGTCCGTGACGGCCAGTTCAAAGGGCAGAGGATTGCGCAGGCGCACCGTGACCTCGCTAAGATCGTTTTGAACCCACAGAAAAGCTGAGAAAGAGTATATCAATTATAAAGTTATTAATCTCTATCATGATCGCTAGCTTACCTATTTTATTCTTGTCCTTCTTCTTGTCCCTGCGGTCCACCGAGTTGAAGTGGATGGGCGTGAAAAGGAACGGCCCACTGTCTGCCTTGGCCACCTTTATGCGCTGCGGCCGCAGATGGGCGGGCAAGTCCTTGACCTGACAGTCGAGACAGTAGGGCAGATCGGTGAGATTGGCGGGCGGTATCACAGTGCCATTCTCCAGCACCAAGGGAACGGGTGAGCCCTCGCATTGGGCGCTTAAATTCTGCAAGAATTCCAATTAATTATTTATTTCCTCTTGAAAAACTCTCGTGCACGCCATTACTTGCAGTTGCACAGCCATCTCGCTTTGCTCCGTGGGCGACATATTGTCCCATTGGGTCTGCAGCAGGAAGGTCATGTGTCGCGTGGCCAGTGCAGAGTGCCCCAGGCGCCTGGCAGCCGTTATGAGGGTCTGGACCAAATCGATCTGCAGTGCCGGCCAGCCGGCAGCATTCTCCAGCACCTCAAGCGGATCCAGGCACAACAGGTAACCGGTAAAGCTGCCCAGCATCAGGCGGTAGCTCTGATTCCAGTCTGGCGCCTGGCTGCCCTGCTTAACGTGCTGCAGTGCCGCCAAGCGCTGGAAGTAGGCGGCCTTTCTCTGATATCCGATCTGCTGGTATAGCTCCGTGATGATCTCAAATCTCTTGACCTTCTCCGCCTCGCTCATACTCAGATTTATGTACAGGATATTCTGCAGGAACATGGCCACATCCAGAGGGCGATTCTGCTCTATGCAAATCCGCGAAGCCTTCAGGGCCGCCTCCGTTTCAATGGTGGCCGCATGCCTGTATTTGCTGTAGTTTATGATGGCCTTGCGATAGTAGTTGGTGATCTCCTCGGCCTTTAGTATATTCCCCGGCAAATCGCCGTTCCGCTGGTGTCCAGGAATGGGTGCCGCCGATATTGTCGAAGTGGAAGAGGACGACGACGTGGAGGGCGTATCCGAGGCGGAGGAATTGGTGGCCGTCGTCACAAGGGAAGATACCGAGGAGCAGGAAGATGAGTTTGAGGTCACGCGCTGAGCAGAGTCTACATTGTTGGCAGTGACTTCGCCAGCAGTGACCTTCTTGGTGGCATCGCTGGCCCGCCACTTTTCCGGGGTGCTCTTTAGGGGAGATGTGCCTGGAAGGGAACAGGGAGGTGATCTTAACAGAACTAGACTCCACTGGATAGTTACTCACCAGCCTCTTGAAGCGATGAGTTCCGGTGCAGCGTCTCGATCTCCCGCATCTGCGGATACAGCAACATCGCAGAGGCGGCACACAGACCCTCCTCGGAGGCGCCCACCCACAGGGAATCGCCAACTGACTTTAAGGTCTCGTTCGCATTGTGGTACAAGCTCAGGGCATCATCCACCAGGCCCGCCTGCAGGGACAGATCTGCCAGGTTCTTCATCACACGACCCACGCACCTCTTTCTATTGTTCCTGGACTCCATGTCCAGGCCGACAAAGTCGCGCTTCTCGAAGGGCGCAAGCAACAGGCTCACCTTGTCCGCCTTCTCGCGGGATCGCTCCAAGCGTCTCGATTCCAGGACCCAAAACAACGCGCTGGCAAAGTCGCCAATCCGGGACTCAAGATCCGCACAGGTATCCTGTTCGCGATAGAAGAATGCCTGCGACCTGAAGTTGGAGGGCGTGGTGAACTCATCCTGCAGGCGACGACCGCTTATCGGCGGCGCCTGGCCCTCGCCAATGGTGTCCAGCGGTGGTTCGTCGGGCCCAAAGAAAATGGCACGGGATTCGTACAGCGTGGAGCCGTAGCGCACCTTTAAGGACTCGTGCTGGCGGCAGAGCTCATTGAGCTCCGTCTGGTTGTCGAAGCGCCCAATGGTGATGAGTCCCAGCAGGCGACGATGCGTCTGAAAGTCCCCCCAGTCATTGTGCTCCACGGGATGGTCGTGGACGAAGCGTATCCAAATGGAACGAGGATTGCCAGCGGAATCTGCGGGAAAATCGTGATTTTAACGGCGAAATTCAAGGAAAACAAGCTCATCAGCTCCTCCAGCTCACCATTCACCCGGATGTGACTGACACGTCGCACTTTCTCGAACGCCCGCTGCAGGACGCGGGCGCGCGACGGCCCCACACCCCGCAGCAGGACCAGCAGGCAGCTGTGGTGCAGCGCGCTCTGCTCGTAGTCCGGCCGGGACATCGCTGGCTCCACGCCACCACCACCGTGCGACAGCATCAGGCCAACGGCCGCACGCATCTACTCCGCGCGGCTCCACCAAGTTCCAGTCGCTGTCCCAGTGCCAGTCCCAATCTGGAGCCCGTTGACACTTCACTTGGCATCTGTCCCGTGCGCGACGAGTGCCTCAGAGGCTGATCATTTCCCTGCCAAGGTGGGTTAGCTCTGGATTTCGCAGTGGTTTCGGTTTCTGCGGAGGAGCCTCGGCCTCCTCCCCCTTTTTAGCTTGACGAGTAGCGCTGCTTTCACCTCGCTTTACCGCACTTTCACGGCGCTTTCCTAGTGCTCGGGACACGCCCACATCAAGCCCGATGCCGGCCACACGGGGAATATCCAAATTCTCCGCCAATTGTTATATAAATAGCGTTTAAAGTGCTGAAAACAGTTTTTTGCGAGGAAATTGTCCAATCAGTGCGTGTCGACTAGTCGCTGTGAGTGGCAAATCGCACAGATTGCCAGAGCGGCAGGGTCACACTGACAATTGCGCTTCCCAGTGTGACCAGTTGGCTGGAAACAGCTGGTGCTCGGTTAATAAAATGGAATTTCGGGTTTTAGAACTATTTAGCGGCATTGGCGGCATGCATTACGCCTTCAAGTGTGAGTAAGTGGATGCACAAGCCTGCAAACATAACATAACTCCACCCAAACCCCACAGATGCCCAGCTAGAGGGGGACATAGTGGCCGCCTTGGATGTAAACACTGTGGCCAATGCGGTTTACGCGCATAATTATGGAAGCAAACACGTGAAGACCAGGAATATTCAGAGCCTGAGTGCCAAGGAGGTGGGGAAGCTCGGTGCCAACATGCTGTTGATGTCACCTCCCTGCCAGCCCCACACCCGCCAGGGATTGCAGCGGGACACGGAGGACAAGCGGTCTGACGCACTCACTCATCTCTGCGGGCTCATACCGGAATGCAGTGGTCTCCAGTACATTCTCATGGAGAACGTCAAGGGATTCGAGGGCTCTCAGGCCCGAAACCAATTCATCGCAGCCCTGGAGCAGGCGAGCTTCCATTGGCGGGAGTTCATACTGACACCCACGCAGTTCAACGTTCCAAACACGCGGCATCGCTACTACTGCATTGCTCGCCGGGATCAGGACTTTCCGTTCCCTGGAGGCAGGATCTGGGAGCAGGTCCCCTTCGATGTAGTTCTAGATCAGCCGCTTGCCCGAATATCGGAAATTGTGGAGGAAAATGTTCCTGACGACTTTCTAGTCCCCGATGATGTCTTGTCGAAGCGAGTCCTGGTTATGGACATCATTCACCCAGCACAGAGTAGATCCATGTGCTTCACCAAGGGCTACACGCACTACACGGAGGGCACGGGCTCTGCCTTCACGCCTCTCTCGGAGGAGGAGTCCCATCGGATATTCGAACTGGTCAAGGAGATCGATACGAGTGGCAGCCCGGAGTCTGCGAACTCGGAGGAAGTGCTGCAGCGACGACTGGATCTACTGCATCAAATAAAACTGCGCTACTTTACGCCCCGCGAGGTGGCTCGTCTGATGAGTTTTCCGGAGGAGTTTGACTTTCCCACCGAGACGACGAACAGACAGAAATACCGCCTGCTGGGCAACAGCATAAACGTTAAGGTGGTGGGAGAGTTAATCAAATTATTGACTGCCGTGTGAATATTTTATAAAAGACCTCAATTAGTAATGCATTCTTAAGGACATCCTTGAAGTAGATTTGAATCTCTCCTGATTAGCACTCGCCCTAATTGGACAAATCGACTTTAGTTGCAAGCGGAAACTCTTCAAAGACGGTTCACTGGGGTTTAGGACGATGAAGTTGATAGCTCGGATATATAACGTATACACCGTGGTCATCGGCATGACCTCGTACATTTTCATCCGTGGAAAATTCCGGCAAACGAGGCTTACGCATGTGTATACTTTCATAGTCAATGCCTTCACACTGACCCTGCTACCTGTGGCCTATTGGGAAATGGCCCAGATTATGACAATGGTCAAGTGGCTGCCGCCCTTCATGTGGATAGCTCCATATCTCCTGTACTCCATCAACTACGTTGTGATTGCGTACACATTGATCTCTAGGTGCTATCGGGATGCAATTTTAGTGGATCTTCAGCTGGTTATAGTCCAAGTGGACGTCGAGATGTTACGAACGGGGCGGCGGATAAGCTCCATGCTGCAGAGATTGCTTCTCCTTAAAACCTGCACGCTGATGTATTTGTTCGTGGCCTTCTTCCTGTCCCTGGTGATGTACCAATGGGGCATGCCTTGGCTGACTGTGCTTAAGGGACTGCTGGCTACCATTTCCTTCACCATTCTGGTGTCCACCACATTTCTTCACTTTCTGTCTTTCTGGCAAATATTGCGAGGCTTTGACTTTGTCAACCAACAGCTGGAGGAGATCACCAGGATTGGCTCTAAAGCACAAGCTAAGGAACTTGTCAGTCTCTGGGCCTTGCATGCCACCCTCAGCCGGACAGCTCGCCGGATAAATGGCTATTATGGACCTCAAATGCTGGCCTGTCGGTTCGATTACTTTATGTTCACCATCATCAATGGCTACTTTGGAACTGTGTACGCCAGTTACGAACACAAGCTTACTATAGACAAGTTGTTGGGAGTTTGCATATATTGGGTGCGAAGTTTGGACTTCTTTTTGAACGACTACATCTGTGATTTGGTGACTGAATATATATCAGAGCAAGGTGAAGTTTACGGCGTCTGAAGGTGGTGCCATGTCCCATGAGGTGGGTAAATGGGTTCCTGGATTGTCTGGAAATAATTTTAAGATCTGACTTACATTTCCAGCTGAGTTCCTATCTGATCTACGAGGGCAGTATGAGGCTAGACTTGCGAGTTTGTGGACTCTACCCAGCCAACAGAAGGAAATGGCTACAAATGATGGGATCTATTTTAGTCCATTCTGTGCTGCTCCTGCAATTTCATATGGTTATGATCAAGAAATAAGAAGCTGTATATTGTATAAGTCAATATTACTGCAATTATCAATTAAAAATGTAATCATCATTTTAAATTCGCATTCAAACCATAGAATTTCCCGCTCATAAATAAAAGATACCATTCAGCTTTGGTATTTTTCTTTCCACAAATTATACCTTTTACTGTTATTTCACCCTGGTCACACTGTTTTGGATTAATCAACAGCGAAAATATTGAAAGAAGATTAAAAACAATAATAATTGCACTTCTCGCTTAAAAAAGGTGCCAAAATGATTACCAAAAAGGTCACGGTCAAGGACTCGCACATAGTGAAGATAGCCGTTGAGCGGGAGAACCACATAGCGCAGTTGATAAACCTGGATCAGAGGCATCCCCTAGCAAGTAAGTAAATAAAACAAATAATTACGATTAGAGACGATTTCTAGGCAGGAAAACAAGGTCAAACTAGCTAATATAGCATGTAAAATGTGGGAACAAAGAGTGCTTAACCTTTATTAGCTAGTTATTGATCTGGGAAATCCTATGTGCGGGACCAACGCCCTTTGTTATCGTGATGTCAGCGACGCCGCTCATTAAAATGCAGCGCATTGACGAGAACAGGAAGTCGTACTTATCTCCCCCCTTCTCCCTCCACAGGCAAAATCCAGGATATATGCAATGGTTGGGGAATCAGTGACCACCAGAACTACGCCCTGCAGTTCTGCGAGTCCAACAACCAGAAGTACGTGACCGAGAAGAACCGGAACGAGATCAAGAACGGCTCCGTACTGCAGCTGCAGTACTCGCCCTCGAAGACGGCCAGCGATGCCATGGAAGTCCTGCTGAATGGCAGTCCGCAGGAGAAGGCGCTACGCCTCAAGGATCTCACCGCATTGAGCACCGACCACACCTTTGCCCTGGAGTTCATCAAGGAGAAGGGCCTTGACACACTGATCAAAATGATCGAGGATGTGGGCCAGACCAATGAGGATATTCTCAAGTACAGCCTGGCCAGCTTTGTGGAGCTGATGGAGCACGGCACAGTGTCCTGGGAGGTCCCAGAGAATTCTTTTGTGCTCCGCAACATTGAGATTGTGCGGAACTTCCAGAAGTACCCAACGAACTGCGGGGAGAGCGCTCTGTCCAACCTGGAGAACATTGTCCAGTGCAGCAGTAAGCACGTGCTGGTGGCCGAGGACATCAAGCTGCAGGACATACTGCGCCTACTGCAGGAAGTTAACTCGCCGGTGATGCGCCAGAATGCCATTGCCCTGCTGAACGCGCTGTTCATGAAGGCGGACGAGGGGAGAAGAAGGACTATTGCCCACACCATCAGCGCTAAGCAGTTTCGCCTGGCGCTGATTGGCAACGGCCTGGGAACCGAGATGACCCACCAGCTGTATGTGCTGCAGACGCTGACCCTCGGGCTGTTGGAGAAGCGCATGCGCATGAAGATGAATCCCCAGGACCAGGATGCTCACGAGAAGATTAAGGAGCTGCGACGCATTGCCTTTGACGATCACACCAACGCCCTTAACCAGAGCGACGATCACATCCGACGTGGTGGCGGTGGCTCCGGCGCCGGCAATGTGAACTTCTCGCAATATTACAAAAAACTGGGCTTTAAATGCGACATAAATCCGGCCCAGGACTTTATAGAGACGCCGCCAGGTAAGGTTTTTTTTAAATAGTTAGGAATCTTTTTTAACACATCCTTTTGAAGGCGTTTTGGCTCTGGACTGCATGTTCTATTTCGCACGGAACTACACCCAACAGTATGCGAAGATTGTGCGGGAGAACTCCTGCCGCGCCGACGAGCACGAGTGCCCCTTTGGCCGCACCTCCATCGAGCTGGTCAAGGTGCTCTGCGACATCCTACGCATAGGCGAGCCACCGGCCGAGCAATCCGGCGACTTCCAGCCCATGTTCTTCACCCACGACTCGCCCTTTGAGGAGTTCTTCTGCATCTGTGTCATCACCTTGAATCGCACATGGAAGGACATGCGTGCTACGGCCGAGGACTTTAGCACCACTTTCAGCGTGGTGCGGGAACAGATTCAGCGCACCCTCAAGGGCAGGCCCGAGAATCTGGAGGATTTCCGCAACAAGATAGCCTTGCTGACCTATCAGCAGATCACTGCCCTGCGCCAGCAGGAGCGCACATCGAAGGAGGAGTGCGATTCAACGGCCTCCGCGATTGTCAAGTTAAAGGAGAAGATATCGCCTCACATTCTAGAGCTGATCAAGCAGCAGAGGCTCTCGTTTTTGGTGGAAGGTAAGAGCCAAGTCTGGTCTTTAAATACTCCATGTCTCAGGATTAACTTTTACATTCGCCTAAATAGGCACACGTTTTGCCAAATACTCACGGGGAACCAGGACAAAGGACAAATTCTGGTATGCCCGACTGTCGCCCAACCACAAGGTCATCCACTATGGCGATTGCGATGAGAAAACCATACCCACCTTGGAGGAGCTGCCCAAGAAGCTGCCCATTAGCGAGATCAAGCAGCTGCTGGAGGGCAAAGAGTGCCCGCACATGAAGGAGGCTCGCACACGCAAGTCAGCCGTTAATCTGGCCTTTTCCATAACGTTCGAGAACATGGAGCACTCCACTCTGGACTTTGTGGCTCCGGACGAGAGCATTTTCAACTACTGGACAGATGGGATCAATGCCCTGCTGGGCCAGCCGATGGTCAGCAAGCAAAAGAACGAGGACTTTGATACGCTGCTCTCGATGGAGATAAAGCTGCGTCTGCTGGACACTGAGGGCGTCGACATAAGCAAGGATCCGCCGCCCATACCCGAGGACCCGGAGAACTATGACTTTTGCTTTGAGGGCTGAAAAGGTGAAAGATTTTATAGTTCTCCCATTTACACACATATATTCATTCACCCAAGATACATGCCAAAGTGTACCCACTATTCTCTCCGATCTGATCTTCTGCTAGTATTACTTGTGCAATTCCCCGACCACGACATGAGCCAACTTGAACATTTAGTGAACATTTACACACCATTTATTATTATATTAGGTATTATATAATATAGAGATCATTAAATAACACATTTTATACATAACAATTTTGTACAAAAAAGACTAACAAGAGAAGCGTATTATTCTTTAAGGCTAGAGTTAAAAAACGAAGGGATCGCGGAAGGGGATGCATTCATAGGTTCCTTATGAAATAATGGAATCAAGCTTAAGGGGGTTGACCCATGTGACGTCCGTTTTTTGGACAGTTTTTTGAAAAAGTTTCCTTAGGACTCAGCAATTTGAATCTCTAACGGTTATGCAAATGTAATTTGCAAAGCGCTCTTCACGAAAAATTTTCAAAAAAGGTCCGAACAATGGCCGTCACATGGGTGAACTCCCCTCTTCCCTTGTGGGGTACCCTTCGAGTGCAATTGTAGATGATAAATCACGCGCAGAAGTAAGCACTAAGCCTGGGGGCAGCCTACCCGAGTGGGTCGTCGTCGCCGGCTGCCACCTATCTTCATTATCCACGCACGGGCAGTTTGCGCCTTCGAGCGGGGGCTCGATCCTAGATCCTTAATCAAATGTTATCCTCCAGCAGCAGATCATTGTCATCGCCTCGGTCCGGCAGGCACACAAAGAACTCCAGCAGGTTTAGGATGGGACCGCGCGAGAAGGGATTCTGGTAGCGACCGCGCTTGTCCCGCAGATAGGGATAGCGCTTGTAGTTGAACATCTCGTTCGTAGTTAGATTCATGCACGCATGAAGGATCTGCAATGGAAAGTGAGAGAGTTAGCACATATGTACCTTTATATTCCCACAGCCAAAACCCACCGAAGTACAGGTGAGTATCCAGCCCAGGCCGCAGAAGACCACCGCCTCGATGAGGCCCAGCACGTAGAGCATCGTGAAACCCTCGATCATGACGCAGTAGCAGGCGAAGTAAATAGTGAAGGAGCAGTTGACGGCCACCGAGAGGACGAAGAGGAAGAACCACATCCGGTTCCGCAGGCCAACGCAGTTGTAGATAAAGGGGCAATGGTGGTCGAAGTAAGAGACGCACCGGTTGCACACGCGACAGTGCTTGGCCCGCAGCGGGCGGAGGCACCGGCAGCTGTGGCACAGCCGGGTCAGCATCACGTTCCGCTTCTTTAGCTTGTCAAAGTACGGGATCTGCTTGATGGCCCGGTAGTAGGCGTCCGAGCTGAGAGGTATGTAGCCTGGATCCCGGCGGTTGGCTATGGCCCAGCTGATCCACATCACGGCGTTCCAGTAGATGAAGCAGTAGTGCGAGCGCCTCAGAATGTTCCAAGTGATCGGGATTGCACGAATCATGTACATGGGGTAGCCCCACAGCAGCACCGAGAAGAGGAACAGGAACAGCGGCCCCTTTGAGTCGCCGGCTCCTCCGAAGAGCCAGCCCCAGCTCTCCGAGACCGACGGTATCCAGCGAGACTTCTTTTTCACCTCCCCGTACAGAAGTCGCACCACATCCTGGTGCTGGTGTGCCTGGGCCAGCATGATTGGCGTCTTGCCGTTCTTGTCGCGCGGCTCCAAGTCCAGCTGGGATTTCTCGCACAGCAAGCGCACGCAGGTCATGTTGCCCGAGAGGCAGGCCAGATGCAGTGGCGTGGACCCAAAGTTATCCGTCTTCTGGAGCTCCACGCCCGAGTACATGAGCAAACGCATCAGATCCGCGTGTCCCTTGTAGGCCGCCCAATGGAGCGCCGTGTCCCCGTTGATGTCCGTCAGGTTGTTTAATGCTCCCATGCCCAGGAGATAGGCAGCCGTGGCTGTCCGTCCGTACATACAGGCCAGGTGGAGTGGCGTTAATCCTTTAAAGTCTGCCGCGTTGACGGCTACGCCCGCCTGCAGGAGCACCTGCACCACGGAGGCGTGGCCCTTCCTGCAGGCCCAGTGGATGGGCCTCGGGCCTTGGGTTCCCAGACAAGGCAGATCAATGGGAGCCGTGCGCTCGATGAGGTACCTCATCAACTGGACGTTCCCGTTCAGAGCTATCCAGTGGGCGGGGGTGTAGCCGTGCCGATCCCTCGCAGACAGGCACTCCATGCCAAACTTGTCCACCAGGTTCTCCACCTCGCTGACCTCGCCGTTCTTGATGATATCAAAGATGTCGTCAAGATTTACAGTCGTTGCCCCGTCCAGACCTTCAAAGAGTAGCACGTTCTCGTGGTCCTCGTTGCCGCCGCCATGACCGCCACCCGGACCGCGTCCCGTCAGCGGCGGCGAGTGCGGTCGGTGGTCCAGATGGATGTCGTCGGCATGGGCATGGCCATCCTCCTCCGCCACAACCATGTTGCAGGAGGAGGAGGCCGTCAGGGGCAGCGCCCACACGCTGCGCGCCGCCCCCGGACTCGGGTGCACCTTGGAGGCCACGTTGTAGAACTCGAAGTCTACGCCAAGACGATCCGCCGTTCCACCGTTGCCGTGATGCAGGGGGTTTTCCAGTAAATGTGCAATCTTGTTGCCGTTTCCGGGAACGCGACAAACGAAATTTTCAGCCCGTTTCGGTGAGTTCTAAGCGGAGCACGCAAGGTAAACACGACTGCCCTCGATGGCGAGAAATTATGTCAGCACTGGGAGAAAATCAATAATTAGTCCGAATGGCAGGACTCGAATTGGGGCCATTTTCGAATTCGAGTTGGCGCCAAAGCACCAACAGCTGACCGTTATTTTTGGTAACTCTTTGCATGGTACAATTATATAAGGTAGTCTTGGCGGAATAGGATTTGTAGATGATATAATTAAAAAGATAATGGTTTTATAATTAAATTCTTAATAATTTTGAGTTGGGAAGACAGTATTAAAATAGAAGTGCAAAATTTCGCACATTACCGACGAGACCACCTTATATAATTGTATCATGATATTTCGGCATTGCAGTGTGGCAGTGTATTATAAAACGAAAACCGGGCGGGCACACTGCAGCTATCTATCTGTCTCGCTCTCTGGTAAATTTATTTCGTAAAAAATGGGCGACAACGTGGTGACGGAACTGAATAACTTGGATTTGAACAAGCAAAAGGCATGTTAAACTCTTTACCAACATCTATCGAGTGTATGGGAAGTGCTAGATAGCGGAGTTATGTTTAAAATAGCGCTTTATAGCGCCTCAAAGTGTAGCAACTTTAGCCGTGTTTGCCAAAGAGCGGCGGCGGTGGTACCGAAAATTCAGACGCAGCCAACACAAAAACAACAATACCAGAAAGAACCTCAACAGCAACAACAACAGCAGCGGTGCTACGCAACTTTGGTTGGTGTTTCCAATTGTTAATAACTTTCGTTCGATTTAAATGGCAATGCTCCCCTTTACTGCTGGCACGTGTAATTGTTTTGTGTGTGTGTGTGTCGGCCTGCCTGCGTGTGTGTGTGTGCAATGAATCAGTGCCGGCTCCTGTGACGTCACTAACACTCATTTTAAGATAGTTACCACTCGTAAATGTGATTCCCAATTGCATCAGCTGAAAAGTAACAAAGAAGCGGCGAGATAAAAAGAGAATAGGTGCCGAAAAACTCATGTATCTCTCAGTGCTGTGTCCCCAATTGTTTAAACAGTCAGAACCAGTCGGGAGATAGCGAAAGACGGCAGACATTCGTGCATACGTAGCATAAAATCTTTACCTAAAACTAAAACTTATTGATTTTTCTCACATGGATTTGCAGGCGGCCAAGATGAAGAAGGAGAAAAAGGAGAAGCCGGCTGGCGCCAGTGACACTCGCAAGGGTAGGTGACCAAACCAAAATCCCTAGAATACCCATTACCTTAAAAAATTACCCCGCAGAACTCAATCCCTTGCCCAAGTACATCGAGGAGCGTAATGTCTTCTGGGAGAAGTGCAAGGCGGAATACGAGGCGGAACTGGCGGCCAAGACACGGGAGGCCATCAAGGTTACGCTGCCCGATGGCAAGCAAGTGGACGCCACATCCTGGGAGACCACTCCCTATGAAGTGGCACGCGGCATTAGCCAGGGACTGGCCGACAACACCGTCATCTCCAAGGTGAACGGTGAGGTTTGGGACCTTGACCGCGTCCTCGAGGGTAACTGCACCCTGCAGCTGCTGAAGTTTGACGATCCAGAGGCGCAGGCCGTCTTCTGGCACAGCTCGGCGCACATTATGGGTGAGGCCATGGAGCGCATCTACGGCGGACATCTGTGCTACGGTCCGCCTATTGAGAGTGGCTTTTACTACGACATGCACTTGGAGGGAGAGGGTGTAAGTAGCAGAGAAAGAAGAGAGAAGCTTAGCTAAGCGCATGTGCTCTTTCAACAGATCTCCACCAATGACTACGGCACCATGGAGTCCCTGGTCAAGCAAATCGTCAAGGAGAAGCAAAACTTTGAGCGACTGGAGATGAAGAAATCCGACCTGCTAGAGATGTTCAAGTACAACGAGTTCAAGGTGCGCATTCTGAACGAGAAGGTCACCACGGATCGCACCACCGTCTACAAGTGCGGCTCCCTGATCGATCTCTGCCGCGGACCCCATGTCCGTCACACTGGCAAGGTGAAGGCCCTGAAAATCACCAAGAACTCCTCCACTTACTGGGAGGGAAAGGCCGACGCTGAGACTCTGCAGCGTGTCTACGGCATCTCCTTCCCCGATCCCAAGCAGCTCAAGGAGTGGGAGAAGCTGCAGGAAGAGGCGGCTAAGCGAGATCATCGCAAGATTGGCCGCGAGCAGGAGCTATTCTTCTTCCACGAGTTGTCGCCGGGCTCGTGCTTCTTCCAACCACGCGGAGCCCACATCTACAACACCCTGATGGGCTTCATAAAGGCGGAGTACAGGAAGCGCGGCTTCCAGGAGGTCATTTCTCCAAATATTTACAATGCCAAACTGTGGATGACCTCCGGTCACTGGCAGCACTATGCGGAGAACATGTTCTCCTTCGAGGCGGAGAAAGAGAAGTTCGCCCTGAAGCCGATGAACTGTCCCGGCCACTGCCTCATCTTTGATAACCGCAACCGATCGTGGCGCGAGCTACCGCTGCGCATGGCTGACTTTGGTGTGCTGCATCGCAACGAACTGTCTGGCGCCTTGACCGGATTGACGCGAGTGCGTCGCTTCCAGCAGGACGATGCGCACATCTTCTGCGCCCCCGAGCAGATCAAGAGCGAGATGAAGGGATGCCTGGAGTTCCTGAAGCATGTTTACACCATCTTTGGCTTCTCCTTCCAGCTGGTGCTGTCTACACGTCCAGAGAACTATCTAGGCGAGCTAGAGCAGTGGAATGATGCGGAGAAGGCGCTCGCGGAGTCTCTTAACGAGTTCGGCATGCCCTGGAAGGAGAACCCCGGCGATGGTGCCTTCTATGGACCCAAAATTGATATTACCATTATGGATGCTCTGAAGCGAGCACATCAGTGCGCTACGATCCAGCTGGATTTCCAACTGCCCATTCGCTTCAATCTCAGCTATATCGCCGATGACGGCGAGAAAAAGAAGCCGGTGATCATCCATCGCGCCATCCTCGGATCCGTGGAGCGTATGATCGCCATTCTCACGGAGAACTATGCCGGAAAGTGGCCCTTCTGGCTGTCCCCGCGCCAAGTTATGGTGGTGCCGGTGGGCCCAGCCTACGACCAGTACGCCCAGACGGTGCGGGATCAGCTTCACGATGCCGGCTTCATGAGCGAGGCTGACTGTGACGCTGGCGACACCATGAACAAGAAGATACGAAATGCTCAACTGGCCCAGTTCAACTTCATCCTGGTGGTGGGCGACAAGGAGCGCTCCTCGAACACCGTCAATGTGCGCACACGAGACAACAAGGTCCATGGCGAGGTGTCGGTGGCAGAACTGATTACGAAGCTGCAGAAGATTCGCGATGAGTTCATTACCAACGAGGACAGCTTCTAGGTATCCTCTATTTTGCACTATTTATCTAATCGTATACTTAATATTTGCATAGCAAAGCAAGTACGCATTTTTTGTTCTTTCTCCATGTATCTACGACGCTTATGAAACCGGAAAACACAAATAAAAACCAAATCCAAAACTGATTGATTAGTCATTCTTTTGTTTTTTTTTTTAATTGAATGAAGGTGAAGTTTTCTTCTATTCTATTTATGAGGTCATTTCTTCACCGCTTTTCCTTTTAAGGTAAGTACCTGTTGAAATAGTTAAAGAAGTCAAGTGCTAAATTTTAAAACGATTGGTCCAGTACATTTTGCTTTATTGTGTACACCAACTTTCAACTTTGTGATAATCATTCAAATTCTTAGAAAATAGAAATTCATTAAATGAATCAATTTTCTTATCACTTGAAATTGCATAACCTTTATTATCACCTTTCATTTTTATATTTTTTAGCAGACAAAATTAAAAAGGAATTTCTTGGAATGAGAGTTCACAACATTAAACTATACCCTCAAATTCAATAGAATAATACTGATGTGGCTGCCACAGAGTATAAAAACGCTGTCCAGCGGGGAAAAAATAGACAGTCTTCACTATTTATTTGACAAGATGCGTTTACTTGTAGTGCTTTTAGTTTTCGGAGTTGTTTGCCGAGAAGTGAGTATAAATCAGGAGTCCAAAACGAATGTGAAAATAAGAAAGGGAGAAAACTAAATTTGTTATTGCTGTGCAAAATTAAAGCTCGAGGTCTAGTCTGCTTGATTTCAAATACATACGAATTTGAAGCTTGACTTATGCCAGAAAAATTGTTAGTGCAGCGGAATTTGTTTAGAGATACGAATGAACTCTTATATTAGTGCCTTTTTAAACGAGCGTGTCCCAGAATTCCAACGTGATTATTTCTGGGGAACTTCTGGTATAAAAAAATTAATCTATCTTGGTCTCCCTCATAATTTTCTTAATCCCAAATTATTTTATTTATTTTTCCACAGACCTAGTCCAAGAAATTCCAGCAGATTGGAGGAAAATATATGCCCACTTGGTTAGCATCCAAAACTATCGAGAGTGGGACTCAATCACTAATCATTTAACAAGATGCAAGTCCTACTGGGTAGACATCAGAGATGTTGGGTCAAACAATTACTTCATGTCGGACACTTCCGGACGGGAAGCTCCTTTTTTGAAATGGTCCCCTGGGCACCCACGTTATAACGATGATTATGATTGTGTGAAGCTCACAAAGAACAGCCATAAAATGAAAACCTGGCCTTGCAGCCAGCAAAACCATTATATTTGTGAGACCTAAAGTCGTTATTTCCCTATTCAATCCATATAACACCAAAATTACGCCGAAGTAGTATTGAGTTTGGGCAAATTCCGGATTTTCCTAATGTTAGAAGGAACATACTTAATTTTTTTATTCCCAGAAATTCTTGTTTTAATCCTGACTATTCTTAAAAATTGTAATCCCAAAAATTTTAAATTATTTTAATGTACAATTCAAAATTTAAGCCCCCACTCAGAAATGGTGTCAAGGTTTACTTGATGGTTTCAAATAATTCTATGAAGCAATCCAATTATTGCTGCGACTGCTCGAAATCTCTAGAATCATTAATGATCGATCTATATTATTCAAATCATATTTACCTTTAAATAAATGTGTAATAATAGAGAAATAAATATGTTGAAATGCAGAAATGCAGTTGGTAGGCGGCATGAAAGCATCCGGACATATCGCCAATCAGTATTATTAAATTGTAATTGTTTTATGGGTAATTCATTCGTTTTCGTCAGCAGTTTTGGACCTGTCATGCCGCGATTCAGTTCCCATTTTCAACGTGTGAACGTGGATTGCGATAAGATACGGTGCCCCCAAAAGCGTTGAACCCCTTTTTGTGGGAGAGGGATTCGTAAATGGGTTGAGAATGAGTCATGATTTGGGTTTGTTTTTTCTTTTAATTTATTGCTAATAATGTGTATACTTTCATTTCTTCATAATTTGATTTATTAAAAATTGCATCCATAGTTTGTATGTTTTTATTTCAATTATCAATTTTGTAAGCTTATGCTTTTCGCGTAAAAAATGCACAAAAGTTCTCTCGCTAATCGAAGCAAAAATCGTTAATAATATTGTTAAGTGTTTTACTCTGCTCGTGCTGCCTGCTGTCTGTCTGCTTTAGTTTTCCTTTCTGTTGTCATAAAAATACATATTATATATCTGTGTATATTTATTCATAAGATGCACGTGGCCAAGTCCTATGCCATCCAAAGTTCTTCCAGTTTTGCAGTCGCTCGCTGTGCTATAAAAAACGAAATGTGGACGAAACAAAAGCCGCAAAACAGAACGGAGCACAGACGGGGGTCTAAAATTGGAAACTACGTGTGCCCGGAGAACACAAAGGTTGGCTGCGTGGTATCTACGGTTGTTGTTGGCTTGGGTTAATAATCATCATCATTGCAGCCGCTGCAGGAGATGCCGAATGCTGGAATGTCGGAGGATCTGTACGGATCCGTTCGGGCACCGCTTGGCCTGACATAAGTACTTGAAACTGCGGTTAGTTTTGGGAATCGGAAATGCACAACACTATCTTCTTGTCTGGGGTTAGGCTAACTCGCAAATATTACTCTGATCTTGATCCCTGATCTCGTGTCAATGAGTTAGCATATAGCCTACGCTCGGGATTACTTAGCTCTCGCCTGCCGGCTTAATTAACATTATTAATTAGTTAGCCGATTTCGTTAATTGTTTGGTTTTAGTCTATTTTTTGCCTTTGCTATCATTTTTTACTTTATAAATTAACTTAAACGTAAAGTTGTGTATGTGTGTGTGTATAAATTGTAGATGCTGGGGGGCGCGCTCCGGCTTGGAGTCCCGGAATCCAGCTGGTCCAGCGTCCAGCCACATACACCTACTCCTGTGTGTACAGTATACACCACCCGTCGCCAGCGCGTGTGTGTGAAAATGCTGTGAAATGCTGGGCCTGCTGCTCATCTTCTGCTTTTTCTCGAGGGGATTCAGGGTTGGATTGGATTGGGTTTGGGCTCGGGGTTTTGGATTAGATCGGTTCAGCTAGTTCTAGCAGGCGCAGCCGCCCTCGGGATCCTTCGTCTCGTTGGGCGAGTCCTTTAGCACCACCTCCTGCATGTCCTCGGAGGGCTTGTTCTCCGTAGAATCCATGCCGGGCAGCGCCGCCGCCACGCGCCTGAACAACTGCTTTACATTGTAGCCGGCCTTGGCGCTCGTCTCGATGAACATCACGTTGAGCTCCTTCGCCTTCCGCTCACCCTCCTCGGTGGAGACCTGGCGCTTGTCGGAGAGATCCGTCTTGTTGCCCACCAGCATGATGATGACGTCGCTGCCCCGCTCCGTGCGCACGTCATCGATCCACTTGGAGGTCTGGTGAAACGAGTTTGTGTTGGTGATGTCGTACACGACGACGGCGACGGTTGAGTCGCGTATGTAGGAGGGTATGAGCGAGCGAAAGCGCTCCTGGCCCGCCGTGTCCCACAGCTGCAGCCGCACCGTCCGGTCCTCCAGGTACATGGTCTTGGACAGGAAATCAATGCCGATCGTCGCCTGGTACGTGTTGTCGAAGCTGTCGTACATGAAGCGGGTAATCAGCGAGGTCTTGCCCACGCTCTGTTCGCCCAGGAACACGAGCTTGAACTTCCGCAGCGGATTCCCAAAGTCGCCGGATGACATCTTGGTACGTGTCTACTTTTTCTTAATTACGGGTTTGCTGACCTCTCTTCTCGCTCCGCTCACCGCTCTCCGCGTTCCGCTTTCCACTCTCCGCTCTCCTCGGTTGCGCACTCTCCGCTCTCCACCTCTCCTCTCTGTTGATACTGCTGCTGGGCTGGGCCTCTGCTGGTCTTGGGCTAATCCTTGGGCACGGCTCCTGGCTGTTGTGTTGTTCCACGACGCGGACTCTGTTCGTTGGCGAACTTACGGTATTCGTTCCAGCTAGCTGTGTCCCGATTTGCGGTTCAAATCGTTCGAAAATCGCTAGTTTCGTCGTGGAAAAATTAAGTGTCTCTGCTTCTTCTTCAACTTCTGAGTCAGTTACTGTGTGACCATGGCATGCGCAAAATGCCAAAAATACAGTAAAATACCAGACAGTGGATACTGAAAGCAGTGATTTTTAAATATTTTTTATTATTATTAATTAAATAATTATTTTTCTTTAATTTGAATAATAAAGTAATATTTTGTATAGCAAATATACTGTATTTGTGTATGCGTAATAAAAAAAATCCCAGAATCAGTGATTGGTAAACAGTGATTTTTAAATATCAATCATTTTTACCAATTCAAAAAGCTCTCAGACGTTAATTGGCGCTTGAGATATTAACGTATTTATTTGCTCAGTCTATCTGGCCCAAGTGCTCCCGGTCCCACACAGCTTGTGGTATGAATATTCTGTAAGGCGTCACCTCTGGGACTTCACTTAATCTTAAATTATATTAAGCTGTTATCTGAAAAACACGGGCCTTAATTGAAACCCCTTATCTGCACCTCCGGCGCTGGCGAATTTTAGTATCGCGAATTAATTTAAACGGCGACCGATAAAGGCCGATGTAAACAGTTCCCCGAAAACTATGATTGCGAACGGACAGTCAACAAAGTCGCGCCCTCAGCCGCTGGCCAGCGTCCTTCTCCTGATCTTGGGCCTGTGCCAGGTGTCCGGAGTGGCCATCGACCAGCCAGAGGGTCGACTAGTGGGCGGCACGGCAGCGGCGGCCAACAGTGCTCCCTACGCGGTGTCTATGCAGTACAGCGGCACCCACTACTGTGCCGCCAGCATCCTGAATGCCAACTGGCTGGTCACGGCTGCCCATTGTCTGGCCAGTAGTGCTCAGGTGCTGGGAAGCACCCTGGTTGCGGGCAGTATCGCCGTGGCGGGAACAGCCAGCACCACGCAGAAGCGGAGCATTACTTACTTCGTGGTCAACGATCTGTACACGGGCGGAACCGTGCCCTACGACATCGGACTGATCTACACGCCCACCGCCTTCACGTGGACCGCTGCAGTGGCTCCGGTGACGCTTCCGTCGGCGGGAGTGGTCCCAACTGGCACCGCCAACCTCTATGGATGGGGCAGCACCAGCACCACAAACTCCGCCACCTATCCCACAACGCTGCAGGTGGCCACCAATGTGCCCATCATCAGTCTTTCGTCCTGCGAGGATGCCCTGGGCACCAAGGGCAGCGATGTCCACTCGACCAATTTGTGTACGGGTCCACTTACAGGTGGCGTCAGCATCTGCACCTCGGACTCGGGAGGTCCTTTGGTCCAAGGCAATGTCCTTATCGGCATCGTGTCCTGGGGAAAGTTACCCTGTGGTCAGGCCAATTCGCCGTCGGTCTATGTGCAGGTGTCCTCGTTTATTTCCTGGATATCGGCCAACCAAGTGGCGCCTTAACATCCTTTAAGGTTTTTTAATTCAATAAAGAAAGACGAATTTGTAACCTAGCTCTAATGGCTGTGGCTTATAAATGAGATCTTCGCAGGCATTGCAATTACTTTTTCGTAAAGTTGATAGTAATATTTATCTTATCACACAGAGTGGGGAAAGAGTGAGCATATGTACATCCATGTTTGACGGTACTCCACCTAAGTAGGGGTGACTGGGAATTTACTATAGGGTTCTTATCACAAAGTAGTGTATATTTTTAATTTCAAAATTAAATATGTATTTTTTAAATATATAAAAAAATTGTATTGATTGTAATCTAAAGATTTTAATTACTACAGGATCAAAGTCGCTTGATTATTTATCAAGCTTATTATCTTTCTTATTGTCCCTTTTTGTGATTAAAACTAAGACGTTTTTGTTACAAATGCTAAATGCATTTCTTGGAAAAATATCTTCTTATAATCTTATTAAATAAATAACGGTCTACTGCAGATAAATTCAAATAACAAGCAGCAGGCACGACGGAAGTCTTAAAATCAGTATTTTTCACCGAAGCTTTTCTGCACACAAAATGCGGGCACACAATTGCCCGCCAAAATAAATTTAAAACTAAAGCTATTTAATAATGTAAAGCTATTTAATAAATGTAAATTTAAACAGTACATTTATTTTAATATATGAGGTATAATTTGTATTATTATCTTATGTAGTAAAAGTCTTTCTTTTATACGAAATTCTCTCGTTATATTAAAAACTTGAAATATTGTGGCACTCAAGTCCAGCTTTGTTGACATAGAAGCCCCTCGAGAACAATGTAAGTTGTGTATGTATAAAAAGTCCCTAGTCTATCGTGGTCTAATCTATAATTCTATTAGGTGGCTATCTTTGTAAAACAAGCCTTTTAATTGGAAACCCTTATCTGCCCCTTTCGACTCCTCGTGATAAGTAGTATCGCGTTTTAATTTAAATAGCCGTCGATAAAGCCAAATGTAAACAGTTCTCCGAAAACTATGATCGCAAACGGACGACAAAAAATGTGGCGCCATCGCACCGTAGCCGGTGTTCTCCTCCTGCTGGCCGTTGTGGGACTGTGCCACGCGTCGGAATTGGAGCTCGATGGTCGCGTGGTGGGCGGAACAGCGGCGGCGGCCAACAGTGCTCCCTACATAGTGTCCCTGCAGTATGGCGGTACCCATTATTGCGCTGCCAGCATCCTGAATGCCAACTGGCTGATAACCGCTGCTCACTGCCTGGCCAACAGGAACCAGGTGCTGGGAAGCACCCTAGTGGCGGGCAGTATTGCCGTGGCTGGAACAGCCAGCACTACCCAAAAACGGAGCATCACACACTACGTGGTTAACGATCTGTACACAGGCGGAACTGTGCCCTACGACATCGGATTGATCTACACGCCTACCGCCTTCACATGGACTGCTGCAGTGGCTCCGGTGAAGCTGCCATCGGCCGGGGCCAAGCCAACTGGCAAGGCCACGCTCTACGGCTGGGGCAGCACCAGCAAAACCAACAGCCCCTCGTATCCCAAGACTCTGATGGTGGCCAAGGATATACCAATCATTAGTCTCGTCTCCTGTGCTGCGGCTCTGGGCTCCAAGGGCGTAGATGTCCACACCACGAATCTGTGCACTGGCCCCCTCAGCGGAGGTACCAGCTTCTGCACCTCAGACTCGGGAGGTCCTTTGGTCCAAGGCAATGTCCTCATCGGCATCGTGTCCTGGGGCAAGCTTCCCTGTGGTCAGCCCAATTCTCCTTCAGTCTACGTGGAGGTATCTGCGTTTAATTCCTGGATTGCTGCCAACCAAAAGATTTAATTTGAAATTTTTGTAAAATAAAATTTAAATGGAAGCAAGTGAATATTTGGTACATACTTAAACTATATTGGGTTTGTTGGTAAAGTGGAAGAGAACCTAAAAACCTTAAATCTAAATTACAGGCTTAAGCAGACGTCTTTCAACTTCCTATTCTCTTGTTTGGTTTTAGGCTCCTTCCCCGTTTAAACATACGTTCGAGTTGAAGTTGAGTTATAGCTCACTAACAGTTTCATTAAGAATAAAAATAGATTGGTAATAAAATGAAATATAAATCAGCAAAGTAGTTTCGTACAATAGATTAACTTTCCATTTTCTTGTGCCACAACCACAACTCAGTACTTGAGATGACTCTTGCTTTTACGTTCGGTTTGTTTTTGGTTTGGTTTTCAACACGTCCCGGCCACTCCTCCGTTTATCAATTAAACTGATCCGTGGCTGGTCTCGTTGGGAAGCTAATTGGTCAGCAAGTTGTTGGACACGATCGCAATCAGTTTATTGACACGACCAGAGAGCATAATTGAATGAACATATCAATTTCGCATTACAATCACACCACCAGAAAAGCTTATTAAGTGCCTTAAAATCATCGCAGAGGACGGGAAAGTCGGAGCTGGGGCCCAAACCGTTGGCCAGAACACGCCCGCAGCTAATCAGCCTCTAATGGCGATAAATATTTCATTCTATATTATTTTGTTTTTATTCGTCCAGTGCGACACGCCTCCTACAAGCTTGGCCAGGAGTCAAGACAAAGCGACGACTCAACGGGAACGAACAGGCGGAGAACAGGCTCCAGAGCAACAGGCCTCCTGAGCAGACCCGAAGACGGGACGGAACAGCGATCGAACAGACAGAATCTCCGACGCGATCGATGAAGACAAGGCTGATAAAGGCAGCAGAATTCGAGGACTAGAGATGGGACAGTGAGACCCTCCTCTCCCTTATATTTATAAAATATATTTAGGATTGTCTGATCAGAACCAAAGATGAAACAGCGACCAAGGCAAGGCCAGATCTCTTGACTTCCCTCCGCAATCTTCGTGTTATGAATCGAACAGATTTATGCAACCTGGCGAACAACATGGGCGGGTGCTCCTCCATCTCCACCAGAGGCCCAGCTTCTTTCTCCTTGCCAGCTCCCTCAATTGGAGTCTCCTTTTCTCCGCGCGCGAAAAGGTATGAGTCTGAGGAGGAGGAGGATACGACCGCGACATTTGGCTGCGCCATTATGAGTAATGGAGTAATGCCTGGAATTGTTTACTTGGGGGCTTTATTGGCATCTGCATTTGGCATTGGAATGAATATCTGTGCTTTATGTGCTTATGCCTTTTATATACCCACAACGGAGTAGTTTATTATATTTTTTTCTGATCTGCGCTTTGCGGTTGGGAAACTGGAAAGGATATCATAATTGGTCGGAAGATGAGCAGAATATTTAAATGAGCGGAAAATGGAAAAAGGATATGAGTTTTTTAAAAAGAATTCTTTATTTTAAAACGAATGTTAGTTAAATGTTGGCTAATACATAAATAAGCTAAAAATTATCATTTATTGATTATAAAATTAGACAATTTATTGGAAATTTATTTGAGAAGATTTGTACTTTATGTAGCTCTTTTCAAGTAATTATTTAAAACCAGATATCACCACTGAACCCTTATCCTTTCTTCAAACCTTACACAATCTTCTGGACAAATCTTAAGCGAAATCTAATTTTTAATTGGCCAACAAACAGCGTACAAGCGACATTTCATGCTTATCAGCGGTGTAACCAGTAATTAATCTCCCTTTGGCCGAGAAAGAGTTTCTCTCTTAGCTGATTCTTCTCCCTTAAGAGAATCGAATCTCTTTCGCCGCAGCAAGAATCTTTCGAGAGCTTAGACAGAATTCCGTGCACTCAAAGAAAAAGATCTGAATTCTTTTGGAATTGAATGTAATACTAAAATATTTATTTTTATTCACAAACTTGCTTGGATCTAGAAATGATTGCTTTTCCATCTTTATTGAATGAAGGTTGTATATTTTAAATTCAAATAATTTCTACCATACTTTTCTCTTGGTGTATGCAGACAACTTTCTTTCGACGGCTTTTCTTAAAAGCAACTCGAACTTGTTGTTGAGCCTCAGTTCGGAATCAGCACGCGACGCGCTCAGAACGAGAAACGGAGAAAAGTGTAGCGACTTGAATGAAATCAGAAAAAATAAAAAAGACTCTTCTTCGAAGACTCTTCTGTGGTTAAGGATGATCGAACCCTCGAGTGGCGGTGGAGTGCAAGCATAAGCAAACAAGAAAGAATAATAGTAATATTTTTGTTATGGTGCCCCTCAATTGAGAACTCAAGGGAAAAAAGTGGATATAAGTAAAAACCTAGCATAGGACAGGTAAGCATCAGACTATGGAAGTCCCTTGAGGAATTCAATTTTATCAAGAAATTTAGCACTATTTCTCTAGATTTCTTGTTCCCTTAGAGTTATTCAAAAATAGTTACATACGTTCTTGAAGATTCCTATTTCTCAGCATAGACTACAGCTATGTGAGCCCGCGAGAAAATCTTTAGGAATGCAATGCTGACTCGGTTCTTGCGGTTCTTTTGCACCTACATGCCTTCCCCCTTTTTTTTTATCCACACTTTGGGCATGCTAAAATTTAATAAGTGTTTTCCTCAAACCGTTTTTCCTGTCGCCTCTTTTTCACGCTTTTTTTTTTGTACGTACACATGTAGCCGTAGCTGTTCTTGTTGTTCAATTCTTTGATGCATTGCCAAAGCAGAGGGGGACGCGGAGCAAAATATGCAGTTGGCAAAGTCGACTTCTCCAACTTGGCAAATTCTTGCGGCACATTTCATTCATCTCTTTCGCTCTCCCTCTGGCAAAAGCCTCATGGTTTTTGTTCTTCCCAACGTGTGTCGTGTTGTGTTAACGGTATTGTTTACATTAGTAATAGAACCCACCGAGTTGGTGGCCAGATAAATAAGTAATAGACAGACACAGGCAGAGCCGAAAGTCCATGCTTGGGTGCACTCGTTCTTGAGCCAAAAGACACAGAGACGGAGACAAAGACAGTTACGGAGATGGCGACGGGAGTCGGAAGCCAAATCAAAGGCAAACAAAAGACTCAGGCAACGAACTTGCCCGAGGCAATGATTCCTGTATGTGTTAATCTCGGGTGTAATGACTGCGGCAAAAGACAATCAACAATTTAATTCAATTCTTGGATGATACTCATAATTAGAGCAGCGTTTTATATATCATAAATATCTGGATTAGTGGGTATTATAGTTACTCGAGTGTATTAAATATTTTGATTGTTTAAAGTCTAAGTTATAATCTTGAAATAAATTCTTCAGGACTTTAATTAGTTTAGGAAACCTCATAAACTTGGAAATATTGTAATTTTAATTTAAAACCTATTCAACCTTTATTTTGCGAAAATAAGGATCTTTCCAATAATATACATTCTTAACAAACATTGTTTATTTTATAGCTTTATTTGTTTTTTACTTTAAATAAAGGCAATATAGTTATTTTTAAGTTTGAAAATCCCTATAAGTTTACTTTTATATGAAAGCCTTGGTGAGTTTGCAGAAATTCCCAATTGTCATTCTTTACAACCTGATTTTTCCCTTCTCAAACCATAAATAAATTCCCAACTGTACAATGCTAATCAAATGATTTAAATTCTCGGCGAAATTCTCTATGCAAATTAAATAATGCTTACCGACTTGCGCAGACCAATTAAATCCATAGTCGTCGACAGTAGAAAAAAAGAAGCTGGCGTACAAAATTGCTTATTTATTAGTCGAAAAAGAGAGGAAAACCTCTGGAAACGGCATGCTAATGATGTAAACTAACCATTTAACTGTTAAAATGCCAGCAGCAGATGCTGAAAACCTAGAGAAAAAAGTCTCATCAGTGCGAGGTTCGTTGGGGGCAATGGGAGGTGGCGAGGGCCGGGGAAGATGAGCTCGAAGACGAAGACGACAAAACTTAGGCGACTTCCTAAGACTAATCAAAGCCGTTACAATGGTCGCAACGGCCGCAAAAAACGCACTCTGGCTTGGTGAAAAAGATGGGGATAGCAGAAGGGAAAGAGATCGACAGTTTCAAGGGAGAGAATCTAGGTTGCAGTGTCTTTAAATACACTTAAAACCTAATAATTATTTTGATATTTATATATTATTAAATATAAATATAGTTTTGGAGTCTTGTATTAGATAAATGTTATTTATATGTATTTAGTAATTTTTAGAGCGTAGAAAAAATATAACATATACATTTTTAATAATGTGGATCCAAAGATACCTACAACTTTTGTGTAATAACATAGTTTTCATCCACATATGTGTATAGTTTTCATTCTTATAATACCATTTTTATTTTCTGTGTAAAAATGTTCACAGTAATCTTTGGTGCTGCGTCACATGTTGTTGTTATTTTTTTGTTCAAGAAATTACCGTTCCGTGTTGACAAAACACAAGAAGAAACAGGGAACTGACTTAAGGTTCAGCTTGTAGCTCGTAGCTCTCAGCTCGGGATCTTGAAGCTTGGAACTGGGAGTTTGGAGCTCAGCTTCTGTGTGATTACAGTACCCGCTCCTAATGATCATCATTAGATAGCCAAGGGTTTTTTCTTTTCATACAGCTGCTGCTGCTGCCGATTCTTCAGCCCCTTCTTCCAGCCTCTTCTTAGAGCCAACTTGACGTGACGACATGCAATTGCAGAAGCCAGAATTGAAGATGATGAAGGTGAAAAAGGCAGAAGCAGGTAGAACAACACCAATAATATTTGATAATGCAAAGCGGAAGCTATAAAACTCGAGTGTGCGACGACGACATTTTACGTTAGAACGTCCATTATCCATTACAGCGACCCCAAAGAGAATTTGCTAATTGCCAGCAATTGAAAATGTAAGAGGAGGAATTACGGTAAGACAAAGGAAGTCCACAAGCTTAAGACCAAAGACGGGAAGAAAGCTTCATTAGGCAGGGTTTAAGTGATCAACGAAGTTGGGAGTACCCTGGACAGCGATAACATTACTAAAATATC